CATAGGTGATGCCAGCTATTTGTTATTAAACTCTCCAACACTTTGATTTCCATGACATAGCTTTTTTTATGGGATTGATTTTTTATCACCTAGCAATATCTCCATATTATCAGTGACATCTCACAGAGTGGTACATGAATGGCCAGAATTGCATAATATGTAAGATATATATTTATGGTATTTAAAAGTTCCTATTAAGTACTTTTTAAAACTGAAACTGAACATTCCTCTGGAATAAGTAGTGTAAGAAATGAAATAGAACAAAACAAAACAAAAATTAAATTTCTAGCTTATAATTAATAATTAACACTCTTGTGCAGTTATAACTACAATCACAAGTAGTTATTATGACCTATATTGTTTTAGAGATCAATATGTATATATCACTATGCATTTATTTACATGTATTTTTTGTCCTAGAGGTAATTCGATAATTTGACCAACATATATACTAAGTAAGTGAATTTTTAGTAATTAGATCTATATTGCCTGAGAGTTGCTCTGTGGTGTTTGTAGATTATAGAAAATAATCCAGGAGGAAAACTTTATCTAAATTCTACCATTTTTTTATGCTTCAGGGAAAATAGTTTACTGTTTTACATTTCACTTAATCTCATATTAATTTCTTATACTAGTGAGTTCCAACATCATTTTCTTTTTTGGGGGGGGTGTTGAGCTTAGAGCCTCACACTTGTTAGGCAGGTCTCTTACTGCTTGGGTCATGTCTCCAGTCCCCAACATCACATTTTTTTTCTCTTTTATTATTCATATGTGCATACAAGGCTTGGTTCATTTCTCCCCCCTGCCCCCACCCCCTCTCCTTACCACCCACTCCGCCCCCTCCCTCTCCCCCGCCTCATACCCCAGCAGAAACTAATTTTGCCCTTTATTTCTAATTTTTGTTGTAGAGAGAGTATCAGCAACAATAGGAAGGAACAAGGGTTTTGCTGGTGAGATAAGGATAGCTATACGGGCCATTGACTCCCATTGAATTCCTGTGCGTGGGTGTTACCTTCTAGGTTAATTCTTTTGATCTAACCTTTTCTCTAGTACCTGTTCCCCTTTTCCTATTGGCCTCAGTTGCTTTAAGGTATCTGCTTTAGTTTCTCTGCGTTAAGGGCAACAAATGCTAGCTAGTTTTTAGGTGTCTTACCTATCCTCATACCTCCCTTGTGTGCTCTCGCTTTTATCATGTGCTCATAGTCCAATCCCCTTGTTGTGTTTGCCCTTGATCTAATGTCCACATATGAGGGAGAACATATGATTTTTGGTCTTTTGGGCCAGGCTAACCTCACTCAGAATGATGTTCTCCAATTCCATCCATTTCCAGTGAATGATAACATTTCGTTCTTCTTCATGGCTGCATAAAATTCCATTGTGTATAGATACCACATTTTCTTAATCCATTCGTCAGTGGTGGGGCATCTTGGCTGTTTCCATAACTTGGCTATTGTGAATAGTGCCGCAATAAACATGGGTGTGCAGGTGCCTCTGGAGTAACCTGTGTCACAGTCTTTTGGGTATATCCCCAAGAGTGGTATTGCTGGATCAAATGGTAGATCGATGTCTAGCTTTTTAAGTAGCCTTCAAATTTTTTTCCAGAGTGGTTTTACTAGTCTACATTCCCACCAACAGTGTAAGAGGGTTCCTTTTTCCCCACATCCTTGCCAACACCTGTTGCCCAACATCATATTCTTAATAGTTTGTCAACAAATCATTAAATAGCATCTGTAGGATTCCTTACTTTCAGAATTGTATTCTTTGTATTCTGTTCTGCCTCATGAAATTGAATCATAGCTATGCAGAATCATTGTAATGTTGAGCTTCGAAATGTCTTGTTGTTTCCCCATCTTAGCTTAGGATCAATGAAAGCTGGAAGAAGTAGGGTTTTTTTTTTTAATTGTAGTTGGGTTTTCCAGTGACTAGCATCAAAACCATTAATTAAATTTAACTAATAGGCATTAAGATATATTTATAAGATATAAACATATCCTATTAATTACTGAGGATACGTTAAGCCTTGAATCCCCTGTGATGTGAGGCTTGGTAGGATTTGGGCTGCTCTTTATTTTTTATTTATTTACTTTTTTGCAGAACTTATGTTTGAACTCAGGCCCTTCACCTTGGGCCACTCCAGCAGCCTTATTTTTTTGATGGGTTTTTCCAGATCGCGTCTCACAAACTATTTGCCCAGGCTGGCTTCAAACTGGGATCCTCCTGCTCTCTGTGTCCCAAGTAGCTGGGATCACAGGCGTGAGCCATGGTTGCCCAGCAGGGCTGCTCTTTGACTGAGTGGTTGATGTATGCAGGAAGATGATATTATGATACTGATGATAGTCTTAGATTCTATCTCCCCCCATCCTTTTTCTTTTTTTTCATGGTACTGGAGATTGAACTGGGAACCTTGCAGGGATTAGACAAGTGCTCTACCTCTCAGCTCCACCCCTGGCCCTATACCCCATTCTTTAAATATTCCCTTTTCTCCTTTTAGATCTGTATTTCAGAGCCTGGGAAGTTAACTCAAAAAGTGAAGGTCTGGATTAGTGAGTACTGGAACCTGATGGAAACCGTGGCTATCATCCTGTTTTCGGTTGGTTTTGGCCTTCGCTGGGGTCTCCCTCCCTGGCACACAGCAGGAAGACTGATCTACTGCATCGACATCATATTCTGGTTCTCACGGCTCATGGACTTCTTTGCTGTGAACCAGCACGCTGGTCCATACGTGACCATGATCGCAAAAATGGTGGGTACTGTCTGGCTTGACGTGGAAGTGCTCCCTTTTAATAGTTCCTCCCTAATGTCATGGTTCACATCTAATAGTTCAATTTAGGAATTGTTTCTAGAGGCACATATAAATGTCCTCTAGAACCCATATAAATGTCCTTTGATAGTCTATGATATCCAGGCACTCACTCTCCCGTACTACACTTACTATAGATTATGTACTGTACAAAGTTCTTTGGTCAACTCATTCAATCTTCATAGCAGCCTTATGAAATACATAATATTATCCACATTTTACATACCTGGAAATGGAGGTTAAGTACATTTTTCAATGTGTGTACAAAAGCCAGGCTACCTGGCTCCAGTCTGTCATTTGAACTTGCTGGGCAGTGTTGCCAGCCTTTTCCATCTGGCTTTTCACTAGTACCTAGGACATATCATCTAAAGTACTGTATCAAGATTATCCTTGGCTTTTCCTTCTAGAATCCTCACTGGCAGGAAAGGGACCAGTTCTGGAGAGTGAAGTAGTACTGAAACAAAGGAAGATGACAGAAGGGGAGAACCTGCAGGTCTCCAAGTGCAGATTTTTCTTTCCTCATATTTTTCCAAAAAAGATTTCTCTGTTCTTGGTGACATTAGCATTTATTAGATGGGCCATGCTGAAGTAACTGGTACTTTCAGTGACATTGCATAAGTTCACATCTCCCTAAAGCAAGGGTTGATGTACACTCTATGCAATCACTCAGGTACGCAGGTCCCTCCAGTTTGTGGCACAGCCATGCCAGTTGTGGCTTCTTAGGTCTCCTATGGCAGGGCATGAGAGGGATGGAGAAAGTCTAGTGGCTTTTAAACACAGTGGACAGGAAGTGTCCCAAGTAGGCCATCACTAGAATGGGTCTCCTGGTCCCTTGTGTAATGGCAGTGTGATAAAAAAATATAGAGAAACTGATGAAATACTGATGGAAATTTATTCTCTGCCACAGTGAATAAATTACTTAAGTTGAAGTACTATTAGTAGGTGGAAAGAAACTGGCTTGATAAATTCTCAGATTCTAAATAATTCCTAAAGATAATCCTGGGAAGAAAGAGTCTTGGGCTAATTTGAATGTACTTTTTTTTTTCTTTTCCTAATCTTATTTCTAGTCCAGTTGGTAAAAAGGTAGATGTTAGCTAGTCAAAAGTGCCCACATTTCATTACTGCTTAAAGAAAGAAGCACACATTCTACACTTTCAGCACATTGTTATGGTTCTATAGATCTTTGACTTGAAAACACACTCTGTAGAGAAAAGAAAATAGTTTAACCAAGGAAAATCCAGTTGTCTACAGGCAACAGCTAAATAGTCTTCATTATCGATGAGTATAATTATGATCGCTGTTAGTGTTTGATTTGTTTTGAATTTCAAATTTGTGGTAAAATTCTGGCTGTGCTGTGCTATTTTGCAGGCAGCAAACATGTTCTACATTGTGATCATGATGGCCATCATCCTGTTGAGTTTTGGAGTGGCACGCAAAGCCATCCTTTCACCACAAGAGCCTCCATCTTGGAGCCTGGCTCGAGATATTGTATTTGAACCATACTGGATGATGTATGGAGAAGTCTATGCTTCCGAGATAGATGGTACATATGAGATTTTGCCATTATGCAGAAATTGAACTACTGTAGACACTCACAGTAAAAAAACATATGGTTTTCATTTGTGTCTTAAAATGTCTAGTCTGTAGCATTCTGCAAAACTGATGAGTTAAGTGTTCGTGGAGGATGTGATTTATCTTATCGCTTATCATTTTAAATCTTTTGTAGTTTGCTCAGAAAACCCATCTTGCCCTCCGGGTTCTTTTCTCACTCCGTTCCTGCAAGCTGTCTACCTCTTCATGCAGTACATCATCATGGTGAACCTGTTGATTGCGTTCTTCAAGTAGGTGCTTTTAATTAACACGCTTACCATGTACGCACGTGTATGTTGAGTATGTGACCTTGGTTCTTTGTGTGTTACATGATTTATTACTATGGTTTTAAAAAAGGGGTGTGAAACTACTAGTAGGAAGGAAGCAGAACATGGAATCAATAAAATAATTATAAGTAGAGGGAGGGCATAATCAAAGTGGAAAGAGAGGACACCGTGCATTGTCATTAAGTAGCACATAGAGTCATGCAAACGTGGCATTTGATGTAGCTGAATATTTCCACTCAGCTCCCAGAATATCTCATTCTTTCTTCCTTTTCCCTTCTTCTCACTTTCTTTTTCTGGATCATCTTTGTCCCCTCGAACTTTTCACATTAAAATGACTTTTGGGCTTGACCTTGCTTTTTCCTTTGTTTATGCTTGTTATTGTGATCTTATTCAGTTTCAGGTGTGTATGAACAAATCTAATTTTATAGCTCTATCCTAGCTCTTCTTTTTTTTTTTTTTTTTTTTGGCAGTACTGGGGTTTGAACTCAGGGCCTTCACCTTAAGCCACTCCACCAGCTCTTATTTGTGAAAGTTTTTTTCTTTCTTTTTTTTTTTTGAAAGTTTTTTTCAAGATAGGGTCTCGCAGAACTGTTTGCCCAGGCTGGCTTCAAACCATGATCCTCCTGATCTCTGCCACTTGTGTAGTTAGGTGTTTCAACTGAATTATTCTATCAGTTTTCACATTTAGCCTTAAGAGTGTATCTTCAAAATGTTAATGATATAAAGTGATATTAAAGCTGGTTACTATGAAGAATGAATGACAGACTGAAAAAGAGCTTCTTATATGAGAAGAGAGAGTGACACATTAGTGGTGCTAATCACAGGAGGACAGTTTCCACTTCATTCATTTTAAATGTTTCAATTTTCTTATCTCTGATCATAATTTCTGCTTTTTCTCATTATTCTGCTTATCATATTTTATAGTAAAGGGTGATTCATATATTTTTGTGGAAGGCGACTTGTAAATGTAGTAGATACTATTTTTATTGGCTAATTGCTGGCATGTCAGGTGAAGCAGTTGGAAAATAAAGAATCTTTCATGTTTCAGGATCCCACATTTAAACATTATCCCTTCTTTCTATGACTTACAGCAATGTTTATTTAGATATGAAAGCCATTTCTAATAAGCTGTGGAAATACAACCGATATCGCTACATCATGACCTACCATGAGAAGCCCTGGCTTCCCCCACCTTTCATCCTGCTGAGCCATGTGTGCCTCCTGCTCCGAGGTCTGTGCTGTCATCAAGCTCCAGATGACCAGGAGGAGGGCGACGTGGGGCTAAGTGAGTTGTACTGATGGGGCAGGAGGAAGGAAGAGAGTGAAGGATGGAGGTCTAGGGGAAGATACACTGGAGCACTAGGTATTATTTTGAGGTCACAGGATAGCAACAGGATGTCAGCTGTTGTCCTGTGGTTACATAAATGTACTAATCTCATTCCTGACCTTTTTCCATGATTAACTGATAATTTGAAAGAAGGGTATAGAGGAAGACTTTAGGTAGTCTGTCAAACCTATGTTTGCTGACCTAGGAATCGTCTAGTAACTCCTAGACAGTAGTCACTTGACCTGTACTCCTCTGCCTGTTATGGAGAATGGAATTCAATCTCATTGAAAGACATTCCAGAAGGCTCAGGGGTCCAGGGAAACAGAGAAACAAGGCTTTGCTTAACTGATTATCTAGAGTCACAGTCTTGGGTTCTCTAACCTATGAAGTAGAATGGTAGTTCTTAGTAGGATATTTCTTATTTCCAAGAATGTCAACTCAGGATGCAAAAGTATGGATAGGTTCTCACCTTAAAATTCTAAGTCTACATATCTTGACATTTTCCTAGTTCATCTATTTATCCAAATCTTGATTGCATGATGTGACTATCACACTCACTGTCATGACAACGGTGCTTACTGTTTTTATATATCTTCTGTAGTTCCTGTCAGGCAATACCACAGTTAGTACCAGGCCCATTTCTAGGTAATTCCTTCCTATACACAAAGTAAGTGGCATAAAGTCACACTCCTTTATCCTACTTCTTTAATCTAAAATACCATTGAAAACTGAAAGTGTTTTTTTTCCTCTTCATTTGCCCCAAAGAAATCCAGAAGAGATCCAGAAGTGAAAATTGATGTTTAGCCATTTATCCTTTTTTATCTCTTTTATGAATATTCATTGATTTTGCTGCATATTTCAGAGACTCATTCTAAAACACTTCTGATTCCAGAAGTTTCAGATAAGGAACAGTAGACCATTTATACATGTAAGTGGGTCTGTAGGGAACAGGTGGCCCCTGTAGTCTGTTATGGGCTTGGAAGGTTGTTGCTTATGGTAATTGACTCTGTGAAGGATTTTTTTCTCCTCCTGTGTCACTTTGAAGAGTGTTTTTTTTTCTTTTAATTTCTTCCCAAGAGATTTAGCCTTTAGAAGGAAGCCAAAACACAACTGAAGTTAACTTGTAGACTTAATTATAAGCCTGTACTACAAGTTATAAGCCTATATTATAATTATACTGTGAATTTTAGGCTTCTAATAGCCATTCCAGGCAGAGTCTGTAGAACCTTTGCATTCTAACAGTAGAGTGTGAGCCACAGAAAAGATCCTGGAATTGACTCGGATTTGCCCAGATTTTCTAGTATCATGGGAAAGAAACTTTCCGAGGCTTGCTTTTATTTGGGTTTACAGAATTGTCCCATATAAAACCCATGTGAGTTTTTGATTGAAAGTGATTCACTCTGAGCTCTGAAACATTTTCCTGCCATTACTTCCAAACCTTTTTATCATGATCAGAGCCATTTACAACATGGGGAAGCAGCGCCACCTGGCGGACAGTTGCAGGAACGGTCCACATACGGAAAGTTGTACCTGTCACGGGAATTTGCCCTTTGGATAGTTTGCTCTCAGGGATCCACAGCAGGCTCACATCATAACGATTGTAAGCTTTCATGCTTATAGGAGATTCTTTAATGAAACAAACGTTTTGGTAGGTGGGGGTAGAAGAGACTGAATTTTTTCAACGTGTGCATCATATTAATCAGAAAATATTGTGTGCTTCATTTGTGAACACATTTTACAACCAAATAGTAGTTTCTTAAACCACACTTTCAACTTAAAGTTAATATTTTTCCTTAATTTTATTGAAAATGAATGAAACATTAGCATTTTAATAAATTCTGGAAACACATAATAGCGATTTTTTCTCCTAATTCAAATGAAGCCATTCAGGAAAAAGAATTTTCCGATTTTATCCTTACAGCAATATTATATTTTTTATATTTTCCAAGTACTGGAAACTTGCTTAAAAGATGCTGCATTATTCCATTAGGAAAGAGGCAGAGCCGGACTGGAGGTGTGGCTCAAGCGATAGAGCGCCTGCATTGCAAGTGCAAAGCCCTGAGTTCAAGCCTCAGTTCCACCAAAAAAAAAAAAAAAAGAGAGAGAGAATAAGAGCCTAGGTGGTGGTGGATCAAATATGAATGATGAACCTTGATGAAGAATTGTTCTAGCCTTGTCACATAACAAAAAGATGTGTCTTTTAATGAATGAGCACAGCTGTGATCATTCATTGACTGGTAAGAGTAAAGTCTCCTTGGACTGTGGGTGTTGTTCAAGTGGTAGAGCACCTACCTAGTAAAATGCTTGGCTCTGAGTTCAAACACAAGTACCACTGAGAGAGAGAGAGAGAGAGAGAGAGAGAGAGAGAGAAGAGAGAGAGAGAGGGAGAGAGAAAGAGAAAGAGAGAGAGAGAGAATATAATGTCTCCTTTTCAATAGAAGGACTTAGTATATACCAGCTCAGTGTAACAAGGTGAAACTTCTTATACTTACTGGATTAATTTCAATAGACTTTTCCTTCCTCTAACCTTGATTTTAACCTATTGATTACTTTTTGTCATTTCAATAGGTAAAGCAGTAGGCAGAGAGGAAAAAAGATAATTAGATTTTGTCTACATTTGCATAAAAGTATAATGGAGTTTTGTTAATGTGTGAAAATACTCTAACATATGAAAATATTGAAGAGAAGGCATCTGTTGTGTATATTTTAGAAGGAACAAGTAGGAGAGCCCCAGTCTGGTGTTTCTAGCTATTTATACATACTGTTTCTCCAGGAATACAGTGTGACAAGGTGGTGACCTTTTATTACACCAGCTATAGTTCATCATTTTCAATACAAGTGGAAGAAGAGCCACTCATACTTTTCGAGTTGGTATAACATAATACCTGTTGTTCTGTACTTTATATAAAGAAAAGATGCTTATGGTTGGCCTTTGAACAACATGAATTTGAACCATGAATGTCTACCTGTATATTCAGAGTTTGCTTTTGGAGATTTGCAATAATTTGAAAAACTCAAAGACCAAGATGGATATGGTGGTACATGCCTGTAATTCCAGCACTTGGGAAGTGGAAGCAGTTGATCATGAGTTTGCAAAAACTAAAACCAGGCTGGAAGGGTTGGTGTACAACTATAAATCCAGCTACTCCAGATGTGGAGGTAGGAGGATCATGGTTGGAGGTCACCCTTGGCAAAGTTAGCATGAGACCCTATCTGAAAAGCAAACTAAAATTTAAGAAAAGGACTAAGAACTAAGGAAGTGGCTTAAGTGGTAGAGTGCTTGCCTAGCAAATGTGAGGCCCAGTACCAAAAATAAGCAAACAAAAAACCCCACAGCAATAAAACAATGAAAATCTCCAAACAAAAAACTCCTCAGAGACCAATTATGTAGCCTAGAAATACCAACAAAATTAAGAAAAAGTTGCAGGGAGCCAGCTCACGCCTGTAATCCTAGCTACTTGGGAGGCTAAGTTGGAAAGATCATGGTTTGAGGCCAGCCCAGGCGACTAGTTCTCAAGACTCCAGCTCCAAATAATCAGAGCAAAATACACTGGAGGTGTGACTCAAGAGGCAGAGCACCTGCTTTACAAGTGTGCATCCCTGAGTTTAAATTCCAGACCCACCAAAAAGACAAAAAGAAAAAGCTCATGAATGTATAAATACATTTTAATACATATTTTATATTTATACCTTATATTTTATTTTAACATATTTTAAGTCACTATTATAAAATTTGCACAAAACTATTACAAAAACTATAACTTATCAAAACATAAGCAAACACAGACCATGCATGCATGGTGCCATTTGCAGTCTAGAGAAATGTAAACAGATGTAAAGATGCAGCATTTAACCAGGGTTAAGTGTAGCACACTGTACTACTGTGGCAACTTTGTAGCCCACCTTCTGTTGCATTGTGGTGAGTTCAAGTGTACCAAGCATGTGTTTAAAATGCTATATGATACTAATTGTTATATGAGCAGTTCATCTCACCAGTAAGTTGCTCACTGCAGTAAAACGTCATCTCAACGTGATCACATAGTTTTTACCATATATGATGTGTATCATATTAAAATATGTAATAATTGATGCTTCATGCTATTGGTAAGGTTTCCAGTCAGCAGTAGGATGTTAGTAGTTAGGTTTTGGGGGAGCCAAATGTTATATGCAGAACATTGACTGCATGGGTGTGAGTGTTTCTAACCCTCATGTTGTTCAAGGGTCAACAGTATGAAGCTCGCTGGGGGCTGAAAGTTCAAGACTGCGTGGTTCCATCTAGCCAGCCTCTGATGAGGGCCTGCTAATTTCATCATAATGTGAATGGCACCAGGTGTTGGAGAAGGGTGAAGGGGAGGAGAGGGAGAGGGGGAAAGAGGGGGAGAGAGAGAGATGAAGAAGAAGAAAGAGGAGGAGGAGGAAGAGGAGGATGGGGAGGATGAGGAAGAAGAAGAAGAAGGAGAAGGAGAAGAAGGAGGAGGAGGAGGAGGAGAAGAAGAAAGAAGAAGAAGAAGGAAGAAGAAGAAGGAGGAGGAGGAGGAGAGAAGAAGAAGAAGAAGAAGAAGAAGAAGAAGAAGAAGAAGAAGAAGAAGAAGAAGAAGAAGAAGAAGAAGAAGAAGAAGAAATAGAAGGAGTTAGAGAAACAGGAAGCAAAGGAGTGTAGAAGAGCCAGGTTTGATGTACCTGGTCCTGTGGGAACCACACAAATTCCTCCTAAAGGTGGTGCCCCTGTGCTCTGCTCATCAACCAAGGTCACACCACTTGAGCATCAGCACCCTTAGGACCAAATGTCCATTGCATATGAACCACTGGGGGCACACAGACCATATCCAAACCACAGCGCACTGTGCATCAGCTTCCTATTAAGGGCAAAGAATGATTCTTTTTATGTATAAACTTATTTCCCAGAACTATATCTGAGTAAGGAGGATCTGAAAAAACTTCATGATTTTGAAGAGCAGTGTGTGGAAAAATACTTCCATGAGAAAATGGAAAGTGTGAATGGCAGTTTTGAGGAACGAATCCGAGTGACATCAGAAAGGTAAAAATCTCTCTTTTTTTTATTCTCAAACTTCTACCCAAACCTGATTCTATTAAAATGTCTAAAGAAGTAGAAAGATCTACTTTCAAATCCCACAAGTTTGAGTTCTCTGTAGTTTGAAGCATTTATTTATATGTGATTCATGTAATCAGTGTGCATTTATTGAGCATCTACTATGTTCTTATTACTAGGGATAAGTGGTGAATAAGAGAAAAGTCACTGTCCTTTTAGGACTCACATCCTAGTGTATGCGTATGGAGGGGTGAGGGAAATGAGAGCAGGCAACAAGCAAATAAGCAAGAAAGCACATACAGAAATATAATTTCTATCTTTTTTTTTTTCAATACTGGGGCTTGAACTCAGGGCCTACACTTTGAGCCACTCTTCCAGCCCTTTTTTTGTGAAGGGTTTTTTCAAGATACAGTCTCATGAACTGTCTGCCAAGTCTGGTTTCCAGCCACGATCCTCCTGATCTCAGCCTTCTGAGTAGCTAAGATTACAGATATGAGCCACTGGCACCTGGATGGAAATATAATTTAATACCAGTCTATATAAGAGCTATGAAGAAAACTGAGTAGTTTAAGGGAAGAGGAAATGATGGTTGTGTGAATCTTCCCAGAGTTGTGGTTTGGGTTGGAGTGTTTTAAGTGGCTTGGTCCAGGAAGGTGGCTGTGAGGAGTTTGTGGAGAGGCCAGAAGGAAGTGAGGGCATGGCCCAGGCAGGGCCACCTGGTGAGTAGCGCACCTGGCAGTGCATCAAGTCACCTGAGACAGCATGTGGGTCCCGCAGCTGCAGGTGGCCCTGGAGGAGGTGGTGGGTAGTGCCAGTTGACTGTGGAGCTGGAGTTCTCAGGGTACCTGCTGACAGCTGTTTTGTGTGATGGTGGTGGTGGGGTGTGTGTGTGTGTGTGTGCGTGTGTGCGTGTGTTGAGATTGCTGATGGCAGCATCACTGAAGTGGGTCAAAGAGAATGGGAAGGTGGAGACAGTACCACAGACAACTTTGTGAGAAATTTCACTGTGAAAGGAAGCAAGATGGGAATGAGAACATGGTGAGCTTCTTTTGTTTTGTTGCATGTGGAAACCACAAAATAAAGTTGTGTGGTTTGGAAATGACAGACCAGCAAGGGAAAAATGGCAGAAACGAGGGAAGAGGTGATTTGCTGAAGGGAAGTCCTTGGGAAGGAGGGCCTGAGCTTTCTCCCCAAGAAAAGGAGCAGAGAGAATATGGCCTGTGAGTAGACAAGAGGATGCAGACTGGGTGGTGGGCACAAGTTCCCCAGGCAAAGCCATTGGCTAAGAGTGCCCACAATACATATGATTTGAGGAAAGAGAAGGAGATGCGTTGGAGAAAAGGAACATGGTAGGAAACTAGTGGGGTGTCACTAATTGTGAGTGCACAGCATTTTGTTAATATATGCAAAGCTGTCTGTGATAATATGCACTTTTTATTTTTTTATTTTTTTTTTCCTTTATTTTTTTATTTTTATTTTTATTTTTTTTTCATTTTTCTTTTATTATTCATATGTGCATACAAGGCTTGGTTATTTCTCCCCCCTGCCCCCACCCCCTCCCTTACCACCCACTCCACCCCCTCCAGCTCCCCCCCTCAATACCCAGCAGAAACTATTTTGCCCTTATCTCTAATTTTGTTGTAGAGAGAGAATAAGCAATAATAGGAAGGAACAAGGGGTTTTGCTGGTTGAGATAAGGATAGCTATACAGGGCATTGACTCACATTGATTTCCAGTGCGTGGGTGTTACCTTCTAGGTTAATTCTTTTTGATCTAACCTTTTCTCTAGTACCTGGTCCCCTTTTCCTATTGGCCTCAGTTGCTTTAAGGTATCTGCTTTAGTTTCTCTGCATTAAGGGCAACAAATGCTAGCTAGTTTTTTAGGTGTCTTACCTATCTTCACCCCTCCCTTGTGTGCTCTCGCTTTTATCATGTGAAATGAACATGATAAATGAAATGAACTATAAAATATTAAATCTACATTTAAGTATATGTTTCTAGTGTCCAAATATCAGACAGATAATGTGAATCTTTAAATATGACTTTATTTAAAACCAAATCACATTAAGGACTTTCTAAATGGCTCACAAGAGGCATAACTCATATTTATATGATTCTGTATTTTTCTGTTGATATCATATTTGTGTAAATATGTGTTTATATAGCTTACTAAATTTCAAGTCAAGTTTAATATTGAGAAAATGTTGAATTACAAACAATGTTTTGTGGATCCACAAGATTGTATTTTTCTATTATATCTTCAGGTCATAGCTGTATGAACTTTCCCTTCCCTTCTTCCACATATTCTGTTCCCTTTGCAGCTTTACTCATCCAGTCCTGAGAGCCAGCATGGTTCTCAGTCTTGTGTGACATGTGTATGAATATTAGGAGCTTGCAGAGCTGGGGTGAAGTTCTGCTTCTGCCACATACTTGCTATATGTTCTTGAGAAAATTTACTGAACCTCTTTGGACTTGATTTTTTTTATTGTAGAATAGAAGTGAAAATAGACTTACCTCTCAGAGTTGTGGTGAGGATTAAATAAGCTAGTATAGATGGAGCATGTGGCAGGCACAGTGCTGGTGATAACAAGGGTGCAACGAACCTTACCTGTTTTGATGCAAAAATTGTAACAGTAATTTCTTTTTTCAATACAAATTTCCCCCCAAACCTTAAGAAAAGAGGAGGAGATAAATAACGTAAGGTAAGCATGATCCCAGATGGTGGGATCTTGTGATGTGGAAACAGTAGAAATGAGACCAGACCATGTATCATGAATAAGACTGGCAAGGTTTCTTTGTTGAGAGCAGAATGGAGTTAACACTACCAAGGGGGTTATCCAGCTGCTCCATCCAGTAGAGGGAACAGCAGGCTTTTATTTAACATTTTGTGGTTGGGTCAAAGTTTGGTGATTGTCCATTAGTCATGGGCAAGTTTTAAAAGATGTTTTCCTGCTTGTGTGCAAGTGTTCTGGCCTTGTTCTTCGTGGGCTAATGGTGGTGACTTAATTCAGGAACTGCTGAAGTGTCATCATCTTACATAAGTGTGCTGGCCTCATGGTTTGGTCTGGGCCTTATGATAAGGCTGTAGGTACTTGAGCTGTTGAGAACGCTTCAAGGCAGGATAGAAGAAACATGTACTAGCTCAAATGGGCAATGCATCAAGTTCACTCCATATTATAGTCTTGAACAAAACATTTCTCAAGTGATCAACAGGTCTATGGGTAGAGCTGAGTAGTCTGACTCAGGGTTAAGAGAGCAAAGGAGACAGATAGACATGAAAACAAAGATGTCAAATCTTTTATTTATTTTTATCATCAATCAGATATCTATAACCTTTAGTAAAGAGTATTTTAGTGAAAGCAGTCTTCAAGTCTTGTGAAGTAACCTAGGCAACTGTTACCATAACCTACATGTCAGAGATGTTATCAAAACTAGTGGGCACACAGCTGAGAAATAATGTACTGACTTCCAAAGAGAGCACGTGAAGTTAGAGGGCTTAGGTTTTTCTTTGGTATCAATTCTCCTTTGTCTTTGTCATTTGTGTAGCTATCTCCAAACCCACTAGTTTTAGCTTGGATTAGTCATAAGAGACTCCTGGTCTATAAACATTCTGGCCTTGTGGCTTAATCTGGTGTGTTATGACAAAGATGCTGACAGAATACAAGGATGGAGGCAGTAGAAAACACATATCATGCTTTTTAACAGGTGACAGGTTAAGGGCTTAGAGTATATTTGTGTTTTGTTTCCTTCTGGTTTTCCATACCTGTATTTAATGTAGACTGGCCACTGAGATTATGAGTTGAGATAGTCATGGAGAGCCCCTTACTTTAAACTATTAGCTATGGAAAGATTTTAGGTGCTTAGTGATATGGGTAGATTTATGTTCTAAGTAGATTCTTTTGGTTAGTGTGAATTTGAGGATCAGAATGGGGACCAGGGAGACCCCTTGAGAGAGGGTCCAGGATGACAGCTTAGCCAAGGATGGAGGTGGGGTGATGGCATGAAATGGATGACTAAAATGCAATTAGAAAGGACAGCTCACATCCCCTTGGATGTACCAAGGGGAGGATAGAGTGCAGGATGACTCTCAGGGGGTTATCAGATGAAAGATGGCACTGCCAGTATAAAGAGTTTACAAAAATGGTGGGGGAAAAGCAATGAATTTTAGATTTGTTGAGCTTGAGATATTTTTTGTGGTACTTAGGGCCTCGTGCTTGCTAACCAAGCACTCTAGTACTTGGGCCACACCCTTATTCCACCTTTTTTTTTGTTTTTTGTTTAAGTTTGTTTTTGGATAGGGTCTTGCAGTTTTGCCAAGGTCAGTCTCCAACTGCAATCCTCCTACTTCTGCCTCCTGAGTAGCTGAGATTACAGATGTGAACCACCACATCCCACCTGAGTTTGAGATTACTGTGGCCTATTTAGCCAGAGATATTTAGGAGGTTCTGGTTGTATGAATCTGAAACTCTGCAAGCAAATTGGAATCGGACAAGAAGATCACGGCCTATTGGAAGAGTCAGGTATAGGAGTCATCTGCCTATTGTAAGAAAAAAAAAACTATAACAGAGGAAGAAAGTAGGATGAGGAAACTCAGTGTGCTAAAAGTTGAACTTTGAGAGGTACAAATTCCTGGAAAGTAGGCAGAGAGAGGGAGTCATGGAGAAGACCAGAGGATTTGGTTAGAGGAGTATTAGGAGAAGGTAGTATCGGAAGCAAAGAGAACAGAGAGTGATAACTGGACAGCCAGATATTTACAAGCAAGTGTTCCAATGACAATAATAATAAAATCCTAAAATCATTGATAATAATATGCTATTGTATTTATCTTGGATTCTTGGGATTTGAGGAATGGATTAGAAGAGTATATGATTTGAAAAAATGTGGATACTTTCAAGGGATTTTGAATTTGGCTATGAACCTCTAATTTTACTTCGCCATAGCATCTATTCTCCCTCCTGAAAGAGAGTCTCAATAGCAGCTTAGTGATTCTTCACTGTCATTTTTGGGGAGCTCATAGATGAGGTGTAGGAGAGAGGGAGGAATATTTTCTAAACCCATTTTAGGAAAAAGGTGGGAAGGAAATTAGGAGGCCACTTGCATGTTTGTCCACCTCTAAAAAAGATGCCACACAACCGTCTAGGATTAGATGATTTTTGAGAGTACACAGGGAGAATGCACAGAGGCCATCCGGTGTCTTGCACTCCTCGTTTGGAACAATAGCTTCTGCCTTGACTTCAGTCGTGTAAGCTAACTTTTCTGCTCTTTTCTGGGAAGTAAGAAGCCTTTAGGTATCATTCACATTAAGATGTTTGGGTGCCTTATATGTGGAAACTGTGATTTCTAAAAAGTTTAAAAGCTTTAACATAATGTGCTTTTTTACTCAACTGTAGAGAATTTGCTTGAACAGGTCCCATCATTATCAGACTATGAAGACTTATGGAAGAACACCTGCAAATAGCTCCCAGAATCAGAAATGTTGGTGCAGTTCTTATACTTCATGGGGTTCTTGGGCCTCCCTCCCCTCAGAGAAACTATTTTGACCCCAGATGAATTGCTGAGGGGTATGAAACTGAGAGCGGTGGTGGGTTCTCTTGACAATGGGGTCAGACTCTCTATATTTGATACTCAACCATGTGACTCTGGATATGTGACCCAACTTCTTCTCTATGAAAGGAATAATGGTCATGCCTACTTTACAGAGTTGTTATGTGGGTGAAATAAGACAGTACATGTAGAACCTTAGTAAAATGCTTGCCCCCTAGTGAGCACTCAGTGGATATAATTATCATGAGGATTCCAATTATAATTGTGATCTCATTTTAAAGAATCTTGGCTGAAGGTCCATGACAGAACAGTCACCATGTTCATCTTTCCTTCACACTCAGATCTTGCACAGAGGAAATGGAAATGCTAAGAACTTATTTTATGTGTCAGAATGACTGAAAGGCTAGATTAAATTAATGTAGCTGATGGTCTAGGAATATAATTAAAATATGTTTCACAGGACATTGTGCTTTAGAAAATAAGTATCCGTAAAAGCAAGGGGACCCTGCCTGAGGTGACCAGGTTATTTGTCTAGCAGATTTCTATTGTAGCGTTACCTGTTGCTGTGAATAGTTGCTGGTTTCTATTGTGTTCATTCGCGGTGACTGCAGCTAATGGAACTTAATGAGTCTCCATTACGGCTGTTCAGACTGTTCTGTTTTTGAATTAGATGAAACAGTGCTGGATGGAAAGGCTCCAATTAAGCATTTTTTGGAAGGGAATATACATATATTTTGTGCTCTTTCCCACATCATCCTTGCCAATTCTAACTTTGCAGGTTCCAGAAGGTCAGGAAGCATTTATTAAGCCACTATTGAGTTATAGAAGTTGAATTCTGTAGAAAAGCAAGCAAAAAAAGGTTCTACTCACGTAGAATACAATGAAAATGGAAAATACCAACTGCTTTATTCTTTAATTCCTATCTGCAAAGCTCCCAGAAAGAAGGAGTGGAAGGTCTTTCAGTCCTATGCCTTGAGATGTATTCTAGAAGCTTGAAGTCTAACATGATTTTGGGAAATGCTTGTTATGGCTGAGTGATCAACTCTTCCGGTAAAATCATTGCTTCTCCCTGCCTCACTCACTCTGGGAACCACTTTTCCTAATTGCTGATGGCCACATCAGCTGTGAAACTCTTGGTCAAAATCTCTCCCTTTCTGCTTTTTTGCTTTAGTCCTATTTATTAAAGATTTTCATTATTGGGAAATTGGAATAATATCCCTTGTCCAGCAAACAAAAGAACCAAATGAGGGAAGAAAACACTTTTAAAAAGTCATAAATAGAGCTCACTGTGAGAAATTTTCCCCTTTCCCACTTAGTTTTCTGTATATTTTCAGTTAAAATTATAAAATTTCACATTGTTTATTTCCCTTTCCCATATCAAAAACTGCTCTGCAAGTATTCTTTATAAATATTTTCACTTTCATTATATCTTTACTTACAAAATTTTATACCAAGTTGAAAAACATATAATGTAGAAGAAACCCCTTTCTGATGTCTCTAGGAAAGAGAAATCCTCTTCTGGGTTCTGGTGTCTGTTGGCAACCCTTGGTGTTCCTAGGCTTACAAACGAGACTCACCATGCCAGTCATAAGGCTGTCTATCCCCTGTGTGTCTCCATGTTGTCTCCCCTCTGTGTATGTCTGTGCCAAAATTTTCCATTTATATCTAGACGCCAGTCATATTGGATTAGGGTTCAGTTTAACCGACCCAATGCAGCCTCATTTTAACTTGATTACTTCCCTGAAGATCCTGTTTCCAAATAATGGTCTTATACTGAGGTATTGGGGTAAAAATGTGAACATATCCTTTTTGAGGGACACAAAACAAAACTCATCCCCATCAGAGATATATACTGAGATATGTACAGGTAAGTTTTAATTAACATTTTCTTCTTTCTCTCTCTCTCTCTCTCTCTCTCTCTCTCTCTCTCCCACACATAATGAAATTGTTAGGCTTAATCCATCCTACTTTCAATTTACTTTTTTCTCTTTAGTTAGCTTATATTAATTATACGATAGATTTCATTGTGATCATTGTGATATTCCTATACATGCATATAATGTACTTGGATCACCCTCTATTACTTTTTCTTATCCCTATAATTTGTTTTTGTATATGTAGAATAGAAGAAGTGCTGCATTGTTTTTATATGAGTCAATGTCTGGATATCATACTTTTTTTGTTGTTTGTTGTATTAATTTTTTGAGACAGGGTCTCACAATGTAGTCCAGGCTGGCCTCAAACTCACCAGGATCACTTGTGATCCTCCTGCCTCAGCCTTCCAAGTGCTAGAATTACATGCATGTGCCACTATATCCTTGACATCAAAATCTTGGGCTACACTAATCAAAATAATTTTCAAATTTTGCCTTGGGCATTTTCTGAATATAGATCTTCCAAAATGGATTTTTTTTAGAACTTGGGAAGCTTATTTGAACTATAGGGTTGGAGGTTTTTTCTGTTTCCAGGATCTCCTTAAATTGTACAGTGCTTGTCCATAGAAGATATTCAGGGTTTGTCACATAACTGAACAGATACATTAGTGAATAACAATGGAATGATTGAGCAGATGCTTGGAGGAATAACTAGCAGACAGTTGGAAATGTGGTTCTGAAATATTAGAAAGGAATCAGAGCTAAAAAGTAGATTTGTGATTTTTCCTCATTAGGGTCAGAGAGGAAGCATAGGAGAAGGTGGGATCAGCTGGGATGAGAACATGGACTGCATTGACAGGCTTAACTTTGGGAAGCAGCCAAGCTTAGCAGTTACCTAAGGATGAAAGCAGTTCAGAAAACTTCCTACTGGCTTGATGCATTGATTGGTTTTCTCCTTCCCTTCACAATTAGGGTTACAGAGATGTACTTCCAACTGAAAGAAATGAATGAGAAGGTGTCGTTTATAAAGGACTCCCTACTTTCTTTGGACAGTCAGGTGGGACACCTGCAGGACCTCTCTGCCCTAACTGTGGATACCCTCAAGGTCCTTTCTGCTGTTGACACCCTGCAAGAGGATGAGGCTCTGCTGGCCAACAGAAAGCACTCTATTCACAGACAGCTTCCTCACAGCTGGAACAATGTCATCTGTGCCAAGCTTCTAGGCAGCATGGAGATTTCTGGAGAGAAGAAATTCCAATATTACAGTATGCCCCCTTCTTTGCTGCCGAGCCTAGCTAGAAGCCAGTTTTGCCCAAGAACCCAGAGGGCGCCACTTCTTGAGATTACACACAGTCAGAGAGAGGCCTCCAAAGTAAGAGAGGACCAGGAGGAACAAGAAACAGAAAAAAGTACAGTTGCTTCTGGAGTGTCCCCAAACAGCCAAGCACATTCTAAGTATGGCCAGTTTCTTCTGGTCCCTTCTTTTCCAAAGCATGCTTCTTTGTTTACAGAAACTGTGTTGTCTCAGTCCAAACCATCTGTGGAAGCAGGTGAAGATGTGTTGGCAACTAAACAGGTCCCGCAGAGTGAAGTCCCTGTTCATCTGTCTGGAGAGACCCCTGTTGTCTTAGACCAGACACTGGTGGCTGAATCCAAAGACCATCACGAAGCTGTGGCTCAGATGGCAGACAAAGAGGACAAAGTGGAACAAGTTCCACCCACTTTGCATTGCACAGCTGCACCCGTGACTTTGACCTCCCTCCCTTCCCAAGCCAAGAGCGTGCAAACTGGAGGTGGATATGTGAACTGGGCATTTTCAGAAGGTGATGAACCTGGTGTGTTTAGCCTCACGAAAAAATGGCAAACCTGCTTGCCCTCCACTTGTCCCAGAGACTCCTCTCAAGGTGAACAATGCTCAAAGCAGATTAGAGGCAGATTCCTGTCAGATAATTTGACAAGATTGGAGCAGAATAGTGACTGCTCAGAGGTGATGGGACCATCACTCAGACAAGCAGATCTTTTTGGATCAATCCTCTCCACAGAAGCCGACTGCTCATTAGGAGTCGTAGTTTTAGATTCTACAAGGAAAACAAACTGATGAATAAGATTAAAAGTAAGGAGTAAAGTTTTTTTTTTTTTTTGAAAAAGTGTTGTTTTTTGCATTGTTACTGTTTTTTTTGGCAGTACTGGGAGATTGAACTCGGGCTTTCATTGGCTAGTCAAGCTCTCTACCACTTGAGTCACACTCCAGTCCTTTTGGTTTTAGTTTATTTTTTAGATACAGTCTCAAATTAACATTAGTTGGACTGGCTTCAGATCTAGATTCTTCCATCTCTGCCTCCTGACTAGTTGGGATTACAGTTGTGCACAATTAGACTTGGCCCCAATTTTTAATATGCCCATGATTCTTGACTGCATTAACATTTTTTCCCATTCTCTCAGCCCTTTCTATAAAACAAAATTGTGGACTGAGGATGTACAAAAATAACCCAAATCATCCCCACATTAGACTGTCAACTTTCTCATGTAAACCAATTCTCTTACAGGTCATTCAACATCCTCTGAGATAGAGTCAGCGTGGATCAAAGCAAGAATGCTAATCAAAGACAGGAGACTGTCAAAGAAAAAGAAAAAATCACAAGGACTACAGGTGCCAGTAAGTGTATTGTATTCAGTAGTTTGGTTTTGAGCAATTGAGGCGATGGCCCATCTTTGTTTAGTTTCTCTTTATTGTAACATGTCATGACACAAAGAAGCATTGTATTGGAAGGAGGAAAGGTACACATTCAAGAGTCATCAGAGTGGTTGTACTTTTGAATTTATTTGTTCACATTTTGAAAACATTTGTGTTGTTTTCAGTTTGGTCTATTTCAAGAAGAGCTGGAATGAACATTTGTGTGCAAGTCTTTTTGTGGGCATATGTTTTTGTTTCTTTTTGGCAAATACATAGAAGAATGTCAGAGTCATATTGTGTTTAATTTTTTTTTCTAGTGCTAGGGATTGAACCCAGGACCTTGTGCATGTTAGGCAAGCATTCTACCACTGAACTAAACTCCAAGCCCTAGTGTTTAATCTTTCAAGAAACTTCCAAACTGATTTCCACAGTGATTGTAACATTTTAGCATGCTCACCTCTAGTTTCTGAGAATTTCAGCTGTCTTGTGTCCTCATCAATCTTTAATATGCTCAGTCTTTAAAATTTTAGCATTATTAATGGGTGTGTGTTGACATCTCATGGTGATTTCATTTGCATTTCCGTAGTGACTGATGCTGTAAGAAACATTTTCATGTGTTTGTCATTGCTATGTATTTTTTGGTGACATACCTGTTCAGATATTTTGCTCATTTAAAAAATTGGGTTGTTGTCTTATTATAAAGTTATAAATCTTTTTATATATTCTACATATAACTCCTTTGTTGGATATATATTTTTGCAAATGTTTTTACTCTGTTGGTGGCTTGCCTTTGCATTTTCATAAATGTCCTTTGAAGAACATAAGTCTTCTTAAATTTTATTTTTGAATTAGCATACATATTGAGGGGGTTTCATTGTGAAGCACATAAATATTTTAATTTTTACATTTTTTTCCAGGCTAATCTTTTTTTCCAATTTTATTAGCATATATTCATTGAAATATTTTTATTTTGATAAACTCAAGTATTTGACTTTTTTCTTCTATAGTTCAAACTTTTTTTAATCCTAGTTAAGACATTTTTGTCAAGATTACTATAATTTTCTCTCTCTCTCTCTCTCTCTCTTTTTTTTTTGCAGTACTGGAGTTTGAACTCTGGGTTTCATGCTTGCCAGGCTGGTGCTCTACTCATGTTTGTTCCTGGGATTTGTATAGTTTTAGTTATTATATTTAGGTCTAGAAACCATTTTGAGGTAATTTTTGTATATAGTAACAGGTAAAGATTAAACTCTCTCTTCCTCCTCTTTTGTCTCTTTTGAATACAGCTATCAGAAAATTCCACTTTTTTTTTTTGGTAGAAAGATTATCTTTTCCTATTGAGTTGCCTTCTCATCTTTGTCAAAATTTAATTAACTGAATAGATCCACACACAATAAGGATGAACCTCACTTGGTTATGTACCTATTTTTATATATTGTACTGATTTTGCTAAAATTTTGGTATGGTTTTTACATCTGTGGTTTTGAGGAATATTTGTCTCTAGTTCCCTTTAATACTTTGGTCTGGCTTTGGTATCAGAATGATGCCAGGTTTATTGACTGAGTTAGGAAGTGTATCTTTAATTTTTCTGGGTGAGTTTGTAAAAAAAATGATATTCTTTTTACCTTCCATATTCAGTAGCATTTACCAATAAAACTATCTTTGTGGAGAAGTTTTTAAACATAAATTTAATTTTTATAATAGATACAGAGCTATTCAGGTTATCAGATTCTTCTTGAGTGAGTGTTGTTTGTGTATTTCAATGGATTTGTCCATTTCATTTAAATTGTTGAGTTAAATACTATTGTAATTCATAATATTCACTCCCTCTCTCCCCTCTTTCTCTGTCTTTGATTGTTACTGTTTTGGGGGCAGATATCACTATGTAGTTGACCTGGAACTTGCTATGTAGCCCAGTTGGCCTGGGACTTATGATCCTCTTACCTTAGTCTCTCAAGGGCCAGGATTACAGGCGTGTAACACCATGGGTGGCTATAATATTCTCTCATTATCCTTTTATTGTCTGTAGACCTATAGTGGCATAAGTTCTTTCATTCTTAACATTTGAAATTTATATTTTTTTCTCTGTTTTATGATCAGGCTGGCCACAGGCTTATCTATCTGATTGATCTTCTCATAGAAACTTCTCCTAGTTTTATTGATATTTCCCTGATTTCTCCTCTATAATATTTCCTTTATTATGCTCACTTTGGGTTTAGCTTGCTCTTCTCTTTCACATTCATTAAGCTAGAAACTTTGGTCAATGATTTGGGGATGGTCCTCCTTTCTAATATAGCACTTATGTGCTATAAAACTAACTTTGTTCTACAAATCCTGATAGGTTGTTTTCATTTTCACTCAGTGAGTCTTTTTATATGTTATTAGGAAGTCTTGATCTGAATTAGTAATTTTGCAAGAATTCATCTTTCGTGGTGTTACTCTCTGATTCATTTTTCTATTTTACACTTACTTTTCCCAAGAATAATCTGGATGCTTTAGAAAATACTTTAACCCCCTTTTTAGACTGAGAAGCAGAGCCAAGAGACAAGTATTGAGTCAATTATGTAAAGTCACCTTTTAGAGGAGAGATTTAGTTTGATAAGGAAGGCAGTTCTCTCAGGGAAATGTCTTGAGCTGCTGGAATTCCATGAAAAATGTGTGTAAATAGATTTGTTTTTGGAACAGCTCAAATGTCGAGAATTTGACTAGGAATTGCTACTGAGCTCAGGTATTCAAGCTTGCATTTGTTTATTGTTTTGAAGTTTGTCAGTTTACCACATTTGTTCTCTGTCTCTGGGAAGCATAGAGGACAATAATGTCATTGGCTATTATTTTAGTGATGGAGAGAATGAAGACCAAGACATTAAGTGATTAGCTCACGTTCACATAGCTTCTAACTGACAGGGTTAGCTAAATCTTGTTTTTCTTTTTTGTTGTTTGTTTCTCCTCTATGCCAGTGGTTCTCAAAAGGGAATCTCATTAGAGATTCAAATCCTACCCCTTCCCTGTATCTATTGAACAGAGACTCAGAGGCGGGACTCAGCAATCTGTGATTTAACCCAGTTGACAACTGCCCCCTCCCCCAACTCCCCCTCCCCCAGCCAAACCATGAGTGAGTCTGATGCACACTCAGGTTTGAGAACTGCTGTTCCACACCCTAATTCTTAGTCAGACTGCAAAAAGAAATCACAGGAATACTATGTCCTGCCTGTCTGAATCATGAGATTCAAATATGCAGCCAATGGTAACCACTCTTTCCACTGTGGTGCCTCTATGAATGTGACTCAAATGTTTTTTAGTATCATTGTTCCAACATGGGACTTTCTTTTCAGGTTATAACAGTCAACACCTGCTGTCAAAGTGACCAATTGAATTCAGAGACAGGAGAAAATAGCATTTCAGAAGAGGAGTGCGGCAAGAGCTGGCTGACAGCGTCCAAGTTTAGCCAGATAAGTATGTGCTAGTGAGTCTTGAATCCCCAAAACCTAAGCAGAATTTCTTGGAGTATTTTTTTCTGTTGTTGTTGTTTTGTGGGTGTTGTTTTGTTTTATTCTTGCAGTGCTGGTCTTCGAACCCAGGCAGTGCTCTGCCACTGAGCTGCACGCCCCACCCCAGGTTTGCTGTTCTTTCAAAGTGGAGATGGGGGAAGAAGGCGGCAGCCATTTTTTGTTTCTAACTTTTACAGAGGGGACAAAATTTTATTTGTTAAAGGACTAGTTATCAGGATCCAGAAAAGAAATATTCATATTTAGACCGTCTTTTATACTGAAGGAATATTTTCCCTAGACAGGGTTCATTTGTGCTCATTTATGGGGATTTTACCTAACTTTATGAACTCTTAAGCTTCATGTGACACTGACAGGGATCTCTAACCAGAATTCAATGGATTGGCTTATGGTTGGTTTTTACCACAGTCCACATAGAGGTTTATTCTGTGGATAGGTGTTCCTTAAGCTTAATAATAATGGTATTTATAGAGGAACAAGATCAGTCAACCAAGACTGGTCAATGAAAGCTATCAGTTAGGCATGGAATGTGAAATAAGGTAAGATGAGGTAGAGTATGAACAGAAACCAGAGCAATGATTGGAGCTTTGAACTTCTTACTTTAGACAAGAGAGCTTTACCATTTGTTTTAAAAAAGAAGAAATTATGTGATCAAGGAGTCATAAAGATTTAAAATTATTTAAAATGTTAAAATTAGCCAAGTGTGGTGCTCATGCCTATACTTCCTAGCTACTTGGGAGGCTGAGATCAGGAGGATCACAGTTCAAGGCCAGTCTAGGCAAATAGTTTGCAAGGCCTCTACCTCCAAAATAACCAGAGCAAAATGGTAGTGCAAGCCTGTAATCCCAGCACTCAGAAGTCTGAGGCAGGAGGGCTGGGAGTTCAAGGCCAGCCTGGACTATATAGCAAGATATTGTCTCCAAAAGAAGACAGAGAGAAAAGAAAAATGGCATGAGGCAAGGATCAATTATGTTCATTTTATTTATTAATGCTGTGTTTATATTATATACTATATATTTTTTATAAGTAGTATAACTCACATTTAGGTTAGCAGATATCATTCTTACTTAAGTTATTAGGTTCTTTCTACTGAATTTCAAACAGAAATATGCAGGTATCAGGAGGGGTCTGGAAAAGAGTTTTGTTGTCAGATGCCCTGGGGTCAGATGGAGGGGTATGTGACAGAGTCAGGGAGAGGCAAGGCCAGGGAAATAGGTTGACCCCAAGCGCCCAGCTGATCTCATTATGTGTAATGAGGCCCAGTGTCTTCCTTGAACCATATCTTGATTTAAGAAGCTTTATATATTTTTTGAAGTATGTAAGAATTAATTGAAAAAAGGAATTAAAAACAGAAAAGTTTGGGAGGTGGGAGACACCCCATAAGGTAGCTCTATTTAAACACAAAAAATAAAGTTCTGAAGAAATTAACTGTGAAAACAAAAAGTATATATAGTTAGCTTTTCCTGTAGGCATTTTACTTTGCTATCATTGAGATCATATTTATCATAATTTTATGATATTTACAGTTTTTCTTTTTTTTTGGTGGTACTGGAGTTTGAACTCAGGGCCTCACGCTTGCTAGGCAAGCCACTTCTCCAGCCCCTTTAACAGTTTTTTTCTACAGAACTTCTATTCTTTTATCCAACAAATAATCATCAGGGAAAAATATAATTATTGTCTCCTACATTTATTCAGTAGTCTTTTTTTCCCCAATTTTTTTTTTTTTTGGATCAAACCTAGGGCCTTGTGCTACACACATGCTCTACCACTGAGCTATGTTGCTAGCCCAAGACTCTTAATAAATATTATTTTTCAGAATTAATTCCACAAAATTAGTTTACTAAGTAATTATTATGTACCTACTACATATGGTAACTCTTAGGTACCAGGCATAAAAAAATAATCATCCTTTTGAAGAGAAGACTAAAAGTTAAACCAATTTGGTAGCATTTCTTTCTGTCTTTTGTTAGTTTTTTTCTTTAGCCTACTGTGATGCTTAATGTAGTTAGCTAAGGATGGATGTTTAAAAATTTGTAATTAAAATTCCACATATTTTAAATAAAGTATGGGCTAGAAGGTGCAGAAGAGGGAAGATATAAAAACTTTCCTTCCTTAGATGGAAAATATTATGGATCATTAAATTTTTTACTTTGATGAAGCAATATAAGTTATAAATGTGAAAGAAGTAGAATATACAGCTTTCAACCACTTGAGAAAAATGGGTGAAGGAAGCATGATAATGCTTACTAAAAGTAGAAAAAGAAAACTATGTCCAACTTTAAAAGAATGTGTTGTGTTCAGATTTTTCTATTTGGGAACTGTGATTTGAATGTAACACATTTTCATGTATTTTCTATTTCTTTCTTAAAAAAAAAAGGTCTGGAACCTTATATCTATCAGAAAATGAAAACTGAGGAAAATGAGCAACCTGCTGTAGAAGTCAGTGATTACCTACAGCAGTCTCAAGAGGTAAAAATACTTTGATAATTTTTACAAAAAATAATTGTGCTTGAGTGATTCACTTGACTATGCTTATATTACCGTCATGTTCCTTCATTGGCCTGTACAGTTTACTAGCCTTGAATTTGGATCTGTTTGAGAGTATGCTCAGGTGAATTCCTGCTTGAAGCTTTTCAACTCGTCACATTCGTCTTTCTTTGCTGTTCTTTTTTTTGTGTAATGTACCCATCTTCCCAATATCTTGGGAATTTTTTTAGCATGGGAGAGATATTAGGATTTTTTGAAGCTGTTTTCAGATCTATGAAAGTTGTCATGTGGTAGAAAAATAATATATTTCAAACATGCTGTTAAGAGGTAGATCTAGAATCAAAAACATGGAAAAGTTACTGGAGACAGATTTCAGTCCAATCTGAGAAGAAATTTTTAGCAATTGGAGCTTTCCATGGATGGAATGGTTTATTTCTGGAAGTAGTAAGTTCCTCTCTTATGTGGTCAGCCTGGCACAGGCTGCACAAACCTCTCTGTAGACATGGAGGGGATTCAACTGTTACAGTGTGAAGGACCCTCAGTGTTTCTCTAGTGTTGAGCTTGTCTGATTTTTGTAGCCTGCTTTTCTTGCTGTCCACAAATTCGTGCCTTGTTTTAGTGCCATCTGCCATGTGGGACGTGTGATGTAGTTAGAGTAACCCAAGAAGAATCCTAATTTTGGTCTTGGTTTGAATATTATTGTTTGAACTCGGGAGCTGTATAAATATTACCTGTGTGAACAATCTTAAATATTCTTGTAGCAATGGAATCTGTAAAATATTTAAAAGCAAAATGCAAGACCACTTTAGGAGAATTGGAATCAGAGAACTGTGTCTAAATCACTATTCTTCCCCTTCCTATGTTTCAAAGTTAGGTACATCAATTAACCTATGAGTTTCATAAGTTCTGTCTCTAAAGTGTTGTTCTTATGAGATTCATGAGTGGCCAACAAAGATAACATCCATGAACATGCCTAGAATGTACTAGGTCTTAAAAATGTTCTTTAAATAAAAAGGAAATAGAATGAGGTAAATTCAAGGTAATGCTATTTTAAATAATCACCTAAACAGTCATCTACTGATGATAGGACTGTTGCTTGTCAACTTGTGTCTTCATTCCTTCTTTCAGGTCATTAACCAGCTTTGTATGTTCAGTCCTATTTCTGTAAAAACTTTCATATGTTACATTTTCTCTTCAGTGTTCCCGCAAAAGTAGCTTCATTCTGTTTAGGTCCATCAATTTATTGAGCTACTCCAATAATGTGCTAAAAGTGTGCATCTTTTTTGGTTAAGTTTAGTTTTTTTAATTAAAAGAGAAATAGCGACCCGAGGAAGGAAAAACACAAGGCAAATGCATTCTTGGAAGTTGGGGTGAGAGTGTGTGGGTGCACGTGTAATGCCCTTTCCTTTCTGCTCAGGGTCTGAGTGAAAACTCCTTGTGGAATTCCAGGAGCAGCAACCTCAGCAGGAACTTCCTGTGAGTGTTTCTAAATGTCTCTCATGAAGAGTCTTTGGAGTCTATTTTTTCACCTGATTAGGAACAAAGGTCTAATTTGGTCAGATAAAGGGGAAAGTACATGTTTAATGACAATATTTTTTCTTTTTTAGCAAGAATGAGAAAAATATTCTCTAAGTTTTCCAGTTTCTGGCAACAAGCTCTCACCTGAGTTCTTTTAAGAATACTGTAATGAAGCACATACTCCTGTAGCAAATATTTTCCCTTTCAGTGCAAACACACACACACACACATACACACACATGGAATAACAATTGTCTTTTCAGATAGGTTATACTGAGAACTCTCTTTAAAGAGTAGAAAGCAATTTTTCTTGCTTAAAGAAAAAGCCTGAAGACTTGATTGTGTTTATTCTTTAGTTTTAAAAATAATTCTTTTTTCCAGTTTTTTCCTTTTAGATAGTGAGGTTGATCTTTTATATTTTTGGGTTTTCAGTAACATCCTAATTGTCAAAGCGGTAGCTCTTGAAAAGGATTGAGACAGAGAGGAGAGATGATGGATCAGAGTAGAGTGTGTACAGACTTCACCTGGTTGTAGAATGGAAGATCTCTCTGGAATTGCATTTATTCTGAGAAATAAAATTTGAAAGATGATTCTATTTTATTTTTATTTCTATTTTTTCAAGAGATGAGGTCTCACTATGTTTCCAGGGCTGGCCCTTGTACTCCCGGGCTGAAGCAGTCCTTCTGCCTCAGTCTCCCCAGTAGCTAGGACTATAAGTGTGTGCACTATGCTCAGTTGATAATTGCATTTTGTTTCTAGTGTTTTCTGGACTATTCTAGTTATGCTATCAACTAACTATCCATAGAATTGCAGAATTCAAACTATCTGCTCTATGGAAAGATATAGCATTCTCATTTGGTGGTCGTCAGCTCTGTGAGATAGCCTTTGTCAGGAATTGCCATGGCAGTCACCCTGCAAGGCTGCCTCCAGACTTAAAGGACACATGATTTTCTTCTCCCAAAGGTTCAGTAGTTTGCAGTCATGCAGAGTGGGGAGTTATTGCAGCATGAAATTAAACAATAATTGTAATTGTACTTTCTTCCCTAAGGATCTTAAATACTAGAGATATTCTTTGAATGCATTTATTCAGATTTGCCCATGGCCGCTTGTGCACTTGAGCAGGGCAAGTGACAATTTAAAGAGAGTTAATTTCAGCTTGTGAACATTTAGAGGCCACGTGGGCTAATGAAACTGATTTGTAGGCTGGTCTGGAGACATTCAAGTACTCATTTGTAGGCATCTGCTTTGCATAGTTCAGGAGCCCTTTAGTTTAATTGATCCAGAACAACACAAACACAGTTAAATCTTATGTATGCTGTGTAGTCACATAGCTAATTAAAAAAAAGACAGCCACTTTTCAGTTAGCTTAGGGCATATACAGTAAGTAACTTGCCTGTATATCTGGTGCTCATTTTTCTGTGAAAATAGCTGTAGGGTTATAAACTGTTGGTAAAAGTAGTGATAAGATGTAACCAATGCCTTCATATATATATATATATATATATATGTATACATATATTAAATATATACATATTATATATAGAGAGATAGTTATACATGCAGACTCTGTTGCTTTTGTTCAAATGTTTTTTCATTTCTTTGGTCACTGAAAGATTTAAAGCAGCATTATCTAAATAATTTCATTTTTTTCTCAAACAGGAGGAGAAGTTCAAATGGAATTGACAGTAAGTTTTTATATTTAAACATTTTACTTTTTATTTTATTTGTGATTAATGGTAGGGTTTGCTGTCCTGCTGAGACTTTTGTATTTCTTAAATTTGTGTTTTAGAAATATTAAATCTACTATACAGAGTAGAAAATTTAGTAGAAAAATAAGAGTTGAATATCTTCTCCCTCTACTCCAGGTAAATCAAGATTGATATGGCTGGCCATTTTTAATTGCCTGTTTTTGACTGTGATTTTCCTGTTTCTTTTTTTTTTCCTCTATGCATGAGAGTTTAATTAGTGAGCTCATTTAGAGAGTTCCACTATTCTTACTGTCACTCTTTGGTTTTTGGTGGTACTGGGCATTGAACTCAGAACCTCACCCTTGCAAGGCAAGTGCTGTATGACTTGATTCATACCTCCAATCCTTTTGATTTTAACTTGTTTTTCAGATAGTGTTTTGTGATTTTTATTGGGGGCTGGCCTTGGACTGAGATCCTCTTACCTCTACCTCCTGAATAGCTGGGATTACAAGCACGCACCATCACACCCAGTTGTTTACTGTCACTTTTTTACATGTTACTCAGTAAGAATCAGTGATCACATTGTATGTAGAAGCCATGTCCTGTATGGTTTCAAAGGACTCTATATCCCAAATGGCTAAATAGTGCCAAGTCTTATAGCCAGACACTTTATCAATTTGATTATTGCTCTTTTTCTTGGGGTGTAGGCCAGTGCCTGTCATATAGAAGGTTCTCAATAATAATATTGAATAAATATGATTAAGTTCTCCAGTTCCTTAAGTAGTAAAGCCAGGATAAAAATTCAGCTTCATGACATTCAGATGCTTACACCCTTTAAGCAGTTCACACTATTTGCCTCTGAAAGTCCTACCTTCCAGGCAGAATTAGTGTATTCCATAAACTTTCATGCACACTTGCATTATATTACTTAGTGATCATAATTGTATGTCTTTTTCTCTAGTAGATTGTATTTACTTTTCTCTGGTGTAGGAATCTCATCTTATTCATCTTTCATGCCTATCATGATCTATAGTGGGGGCTGAAAAGTTACACTTGATTATTAAATGAATTAAGAAGAGTTCATTCTGCTGATGTTACTTTTCACTCTGCACCCTCAAATGACAAAGGATGCTTGCTTCTTACCTTACCCAGCAACAAGAAGCCAGAGAGATCTGAGAAATTGGCCTTGTTCTACTGCTTATTCCACTAGGCATAAAGTAGTTGCCACCATGAGATTAAAGTTTCTCCACTTTAATTTTGATTTTTATGGAATGGCAAAACTGAACTGTTGCAAAGGATTTCTCTGGAGCCTTGTAATTTAGGACTGGGGCAGACAGAAGAAAATGAGTTAAACTTGGTGGGGGTCTTCCCAGCACACAGCTGTTGTGTAGCCATACAAATCCCTTGGTGCTGTACTGTCTACTCCCTCCTTTGTTTCTGTTATACACCTCTTAATGTGTTTTCATCATTTTATTGTTATTTTCAGCCTGTGAAGTAGGCTGCTAATAACCTGGCATTAATAATGCCTTTCTATGGATATTTCATCTTGGTAGGATGCTCAGAGAATCATGCTTGTGGGATGTCATGAAGTGTGATGGGCAGCTGAGTGCCTTCTGCAACCCAGAGGTGTAATTGGTTCAGAGGAAATACATCTTTGAGGCTAATATTACCTGTCTTTCTTCAATTCCCCATATAAATGTGTTTGGAGATATTACATTGATGATTGGAAGTTGTCAGGATACCATGTGCAATAATGTGGTTAAAGGATATTAGGCAAGCTTTTTCAAATACTGAGAAGTCATTCCGATTGACCTGTTCAATAAGAACTTTGGAGGCAATATATTCATAAGCATGTATTTATCTCAAGTCAAGTAATTAAAATGCCAGTCTTTTCTATAATTTCAGAGATCTCATCCTCTTTAAAAAGCCCTCAAGAGTCTCACCATCATTATTCAGGTAAGAAGCATGTGTGCATACAGGTCAACTGAATTAAACAGAAATATGGATGAATTCCACATTACTGATATGGGTCCCAACTTGGAAATATGTTTACTCTTGTGGAAAGAACATTTAAATTTCTTATTTTTGCATTGGTTTGGGAAAACAAGACAGAGCTGGGTGTGGTGACACACATCTTGAGTTTGAAGCCAGCCTAGGCTACATAGAGAGACCCTGTCTCAATAGAAAAATAAAATAAAAAGAAAAGAAAGAAAGGAGAATTTGGATTAAACCATGTTTGTTTTGGAAAGTTTCAAATTGTGAAGGAGAAAGATGACCCTGAGGTCTAAAAATTTCTTGCAAGCTGCAGGCCAGCCCTAAGCCAGAGATCTTAATGTTTTTGACTGGGGAAAAGACAGACTTGAAAGTAGTTTTTTAAGGGCCCTCCCAGGGCCCTCAGTGAACATAACCACTGAATAGATGCCAACCTCACAGAATAACTTTAACAAAGATGCCTTACAGAGATGTTATTAAACAAAGATGTCAAGGGTCTTGACTCTCTTAAGCAACATCACTTCATAGTGCTTTGGTTGTCTTTCTTTCGAAGTGGGAATAATTATACTTGCTCTTCTTGAGGAACAGTCTGTCAAAGGGCTGGTTGAGAATTAAGAGGAAAACATTTTGAAATGCAAAGAAATATAACAACCAATTGGACTTGTGCTACTGAGTGATTTCCTAGCGGTCATTGTTCTTAGCAGTGGATGAGATAATACATAAGTCTTTACCTAACCTAAAGCTTGGTGCATGAGCAGGACCTTATTGGTACTATAATTACCATTATTGTTATATCAAGGTCATTTATTTAGGGTCTAGTGATAGATTGTCTTATTCCAAATTCTCCTCTGTGGTGAATAACAGCTCAGTACATTCCAGACTCCTCATTCCAGGCTCTTATAACTGGGTCTTCCAGCTCAGCAGTAATCTATTATTTTGACTCCTGCTGTCAACTTAAAAAGTCTCTGGTGAGGAATACTGTAACTCATGTTGACTCCGACCTGTTAGGATATGGCTCTTAACAGGAAAAATGCAGATCACTTGCTTCTAACTAAAATTAATCTTCAGTTCTCTCTGGGAAAAAGAAGGTGAATTGTGCAAAGTCAACAGCAGGTGTCCTCACAGTCCACTGTGCATTGGACTTGCTTTGGAAAAGGAAAACCAGAGAATGAAGACCACAGATTAAAATGCCATATAAAAGAAAGTTCCATACCTATATGAGTTAGTATATGATTTGGAATTCAGAAGAGTCAGGGAGACAGCCCTACCTTGGACGGTGTTATATAACCACTGGGAAAATGTACTTCAAACTGGGGTATCCTCTCTGTTTAAAGCATAATTTATATCTAAAGCTGTATTATAGATTATATGTATTTTGGTAATGGTAAAAGTAAAGGGTGTTTGAAAATAAGTATTCTGGCATTAGACAAACATACTGATGTGGGGAGGTTTTCTATAAATTTAACCATTGATGCAGACTTAAAATAGTACATCTGTTTTTGTTTGCAGCCATTGAAAGGAATAATTTAATGAGGCTTTCTCATACCATCCCATTTACACCAATTCAACTGTTCAGTGAGTAGTGTTTCTACCTTCTTGTGTCTGCTAACATCTGAGTACAACAAAGGAGAAGCCATGCTGCATCATTTTACCTGACAGTTTCATTTTATCCATGGTTGTAGATCAGTGAGATTCATTTCCTAAAATGGAAATTCTTGTTAACTGCTATGGCCAACATAGCTAGCATGAAGATGGGACCTATTTTGAGTAGCAGCTGGGAAAAAAGTGTCAGTGTTGCACCTGTCATTCATTGACTCCAGGCTGGAGAACCTCAGAAAGAAAAGAACAAACCAACCATGTATAATAAGCACAGAAGAGAGTGTTAAGTGTCAATATGGTAAAGCCAATAGGCATGTGAAAAGAAATTCTTTGTACATTGTTTTTTGTTTGTTTTATTTCACACAGACTGGTTGCTCTTACTTCAGACTGCAAATATCATTTTTAAAGGCTGGAGTAGTAAAGAAAAACAGGTTTGTGTTAGCCAAGGCTACCAGAGTTTCTGTGCTTAGCAGGATAAAGCCTGAGTCAACTGACAATATAACAAGGGTCCTCACACTGCCCTTGATCTTGATTCTTCTCACACTGTTCACATGGAGAGAGACCAGGTTGGCTTCTGATTGTTAATGCAGAAGCTTTCTCCTACTTGGCTCCTTGGTTGGTTTTGCAAATCAATAGCTCTACTGTAAATCCTCTAGGAATAAGAGCTCCAAAGAGATCTTCAGTGGCATTTTTTTTTTTTTCTGGGCAACAGGATATATACTTGAAAATATGTTACTAAGCATTTCCCAAGTGTGTTTATTGGTAAGGCATTAGATACACGAGTGAGGAATGGATTCCTGTCTTGCCAAACCAGTACAGTGTTTATAACAAACAACAAAAAAACTAACATGTGAAGCCAAGATATAAGGAAAAAATGAGACATAGCCTTGCTGCAGCTCTGTATAGAGTTGGTTACTTCTGTTATGAAGCAGTTAATGAAATATTGGTGGAACAGAGGTTAGGTAAGAATTGCTTCCTGTTCAGAAGCCTAAAAGTGGAAGTTGTATAGCAGTTAAGTAGCATTTTGTGTCTAAAATCCTTTAAGCAGGATTAAATTTGTGTTTGAGGTTCTAGTTCACTTTAGCTGTGTTAGAAAATTTATTTTTATTTTAATTTTTTTTAGCAGTACTAGGGCTTGAATTCAGGGTCTTGTGCTTGCTAGGGAAGTGCTGTACCACTTGAACCATATCTCCAGTCCCCCATATTAGTGAATTTAACCTTTACAAAAAACTAATGAAGTGAGAATTCTTTTCTTTTCCTTTTTTTTTTTTTGAGCTCTTTTTAATTAGGATGTATTCATGTATGGGGGATTCATTGTGACATTTCCAAATAGGCTTATATTGTACATTGGCCAGATCACCCCCACTTTCTCTACCCCTCCATCCCCTCCCCTCCCCACTTAAAGCAATTTCAAGAGGTTTCTTTGTTCTATTTTATGTAAGTATATGAAGTCCATCCACATATACCCTTGCCTTAGTTTCCTTCATCTACTGTCTCCCTCCCACAAATACCCCTCACACATACTGTACCTATTTTACAGTCCTATCTTTTGTTATTAATATTTAAGTTGATATTCAAAGTGGTTTTCTGATTTTCCCTGCTATGAGTCTACTTTACTTTGGTCCATTCAACCTTTACCATTGCTCTCCCTTACCCTTTTACTTCCCACTTTTCATTTTTCAATAGCTTTCAATATAGATCATTTCCTCTACCTTCACTGATGTTATGTTCTGCGATATTGTTGAAGCTCTATAGTTCTTTTTTCCTTCCTCCACTCCGAGATTCAACTGAGAATAATTTTCATTTCCAATTTACTGATGAAGGAAAGTGAGGCTTTAAGTACTTTGTCAAGGGCACAGTGGAAGCGGTGGGAGAAGATAGAGACTCTGGGATATGACCTTGGTATTGTCTGCTGTCTGACGCTGCATGAGTTAAACCATGTGTTCTCAGACAGGTAATATTACCCCCCAAGGAAAGTAAGAAAGAAACAAACACCCCAAGCAAAAACAAAATCACATTCTTCTTTTTATTTATAAAACATAGAGATACATAAGTTCAGGGCTGGAGGAATGGCTCAAGCAATGGAGCACCTGCTTACAAGCTCAAAGCCCTGAGTTCAAACCCCAGTACCACTGAAAAAAAAAAGTTGTAAGATACGTTAGGTTCATAAACCGATATACAGTATGTATATCTAATATGTCATAGGAAGAAATATTAGAAAAAAGGCCTAAGAAGTCTCCTTAGGGGGATGGTAGTGTATAACTCTAGGTTAAATTGTCTCTTTAGAAATATTTGCCTGAATGAAAAAAGCATATCTATATTATTTTGACATTGTTTTTGTCCAGTTAGAGTGTACAGTCAGTATAACTTAATTTTTGTATGTCTTCTGATGGTTTGTCCCTTCTTCACCTCTTCACCTTTACCTGACAATACATAAACACAGTCTGTGTCTCTGTTAGTTGTCCTCTCCTTAGATCATGGGGACAACTGAACTGATTCTTAGTTGGTGCTAAGGGTATCAACACTCCAGGTCCACTGATCTCACTGGACACTTGGTCCTTTGCTTCTCTTTGCAGCTGGAGAAGAAGTGACGATCTATAAGCTAGAGGAGAGTTCCCCTTTGAACCTTGATAAAAGTATGTCCTCTTGGTCTCAGTATGGGAGAGCTGCCATAATTCAGGTGTTGTCCCAAGAGGAATTGGATGGGGGCCTCCGAAAAGCAATGAGAGTCATCAGTACTTGGTCTGAGGATGACGTTCTCAAGCCAGGACAGGTTTTCATTGTGAAGTCCTTTCTCCCTGAGGTTGTGCAGACTTGGTATAAAATCTTCCAAGAGAGTACAGTGCTTCATCTTTGCCTACGGGTAAGTCTGAAACTCAGATTCAGAACCCAAATGGACGAGCCAAGAGAGGAGATCTGGTTACATCTCCATCCAAGACCATTGTCTTCAAACCAAGAGGAGTCTATTTTTTTCTGAAGGTGGTAGGGTTTATTATTTTTGCTTTGTAAGACTTTTGATTTCAAGTAAGGAGTGATGGGAGCTAAGTAATGTTAAAATTTACATTTGGGAAACCTCTAGGAATCTCTGAGATCATTAATAGACATGTAGTAGTAAGCCAATTTTTTTTGATACTCCCTATTTTGTAGGAAATTCAGCAACAAAGAGCTGCTCAAAAACTAATCTATACCTTTAACCAAGTGAAACCACAAACCATTCCCTACACACCAAGGTAAGGAAATCTTGGCACCTTGGCTCTTCATTTTAAGCAGAATTCCTATTAACCTCTTCTCAGCCCAATAGTCATGAGGAATACCAGACCCCATGGGAAAGGTTGCCATGACCTTATTTTTGGGTTTTTCCTTCCATAGTTATGCAGACTGCTAAAAGGAGAATCAGCCGTTGCATTTACACCTTGGCCTAAATCACTGAACTTCCATGAGTGGAAAAAAGTTCTGATAGATGCCATGATCAACATTTCAATTATATAAAACAGGAAGATCCTGGGTATAGTTACTAATGCCAGGAGCATTATGGCAGAAAACATTTCAATTTTAAGCACTTTGTAAGAATAAACTCTTGTTACTTTTACTTGGGTGTCTCTATACACATGTATTTATTTCTCAACACAGATCATAATTTGGTGCTGAGGTCTTAAGAGTAAAGCTTTAGTGTTTATTTACAAGGAACTTTATAGAGCAGGGCAAGAAGAGTTGGGTTCAGTACTCATAAAAAAAGTTGGAAAGTGTTTTCAAAGAGAAGGGAAGCATGGGAAAAAAGGCTTCTACTTTTTGTGTTCCATGCTTTCCATAGAAAGGCCAAGGTCATGTGCACTGAAGGTGCGGCAGATCAGAGTTAGGTAACCTATCTGTTCTGCTGCTGACTGTTCTATAGGTTAAGTCTCACTTTTGCCATCTTGTGTGGGATCAATGACTTCTTTTTCCCTCACAGGTTCCTGGAAGTTTTCTTAATCTACTGCCATTCAGCCAATCAATGGTTGACCATTGAGAAGTTCATGAATGGAGAGTTCCGGAAGTATAACAATAACAATGGAGATGAAATTGTTCCCAGCAACACTCTGGAGGAACTGATGCTGGCTTTCTCTCACTGGACCTATGAGTATACACGGGGAGAGCTGCTGGTTTTAGATTTGCAAGGTGATGGATGACACAAGATTGAAATAACAGCATGTGGCAAAGTTCAAAGAGATCTTGCAAGAACTAGGATGGGCCATGCCTGGAGTTGCTCTATCTAGCTTTGAAGGGAGATGGAGATGTTTAGTTTCAACATTGTACCTGGATGACCATGAGTGCCTGCTATGTTATTTCCTATTTAGACAGAGGGGAAATACGTTGGCAGGCAATTAGTTGTTTAAAATTTAAAGTCAACAAGTTTTGAATTAGATGGGGAAGATTTTTGTACCAAGTTTTCCAGTTTTATGGACTTTTTTGGTCATGTGTTCGCCATGAAACATACATGCATTTATACGCAGGAGAGTTTAAACTCTGGGCATTTTTCATGACTTGGAGCTCATTGCATTAACAATTTATAATTAAGCTTGTTCTGTTTGCTGTGTCTCTTGATGTGACAGTTCATGAAAGTACATGCTCGGTCAGGCAACACAGTACTTTCTTATTTAATGGAAGCTTTTGATCAGTACATCTCCTATCAATACTTCCCAGGTGCCTTCTAATCCTACAGCGCAAACAAAGTATCTCCGGCAGGCTTTCCTTGCAGGGAATAGCACAAAATATGTATTAAGGTTAAAGTGTAGTTCTTGGGCTTACTGACTGAGGCTTTGGTTTTAAATAGGGATTTAGTCCTGGAATTTTCATAGAATTCATCTCATCTAATCCCAGAAGCAGCACCTGGAGGTAGATATTATGGGAAATTTAGGTCCAGAAAGTTTAAATAACTTGCCCAAGGTTACATAGCTACTTAAAGGAGAGCCAGAATGCAGACCTAAGCTAGTTCAACCCTCCATGTTCTTTTCTTCTCACTGGATTGTCTTTTTTTTTTTTTTTTTTCTTAAGAGCACCATACCATAACCATTATCTGATTCATTTAAACAACCCCAGCTTTTTTCTTGTTCTCTGTGACTTCCCCAGTTTCCAGTTCTGGGATTCTATGGTGAAACTGGGGTTTAGAGGATAGGGAATGTTGAGATAAATAGATAATCTTGGGGCTTTATGAGCACTTTCTGGGAAAGTTGCAAAGTCACTTTGAAATTTGTGTCATATGCTCAACGATGTGAAGACACTCTTAAACTATATATATAAGTATTTCTGTCCTTTGAGATTTCTGCTGTTCACGAGGCAGTATTATAATAATACTCTCAAACACAATACTATAGAAAGCAATATGTATGAAACTAAAACCACCAACATGATTCAGCCTTTTAAGCCAACAAGGCCTTGATGAACATAAACCCAGACTGCAGATGCCCGAGGCATCTGCTTTTGTAGCTCAAGTCAGGGAGAGGTTGATTGTTTTCATCTGTACTCCATGGTTTGTATTTTGAGTTTGGGGTGGAGTTGTTTAAAAAGCAAAAACAGAAACAAACAACAATAAAAAACAACCAAAGAAAAACTTTAAGGAATTAATGATGACTCTTCAGTGTGTTTTGTATTCCACTTGAATAAGTTTTTGTTTAATGATGTTTATGTTTGGGGATTTTTATGTCTCTTAGTAATCCAAAGTGACATTAAACAGAACAAATGCTGTGTTGATAGTCTTGGAGGGAAAAGGGAATTAACTTTATTCTTTTCCTGAGTAATTATGTGAATTTCAGAAATAGGCCACACCAAATAAACTATGTCAAAACATTGACCTTCAAAGAAGGAAAGAGTGGACATCATAGAATGAGTGTGATGAAATTTGAGATACTTATCAGAATGTTGAGGCTAAGTGGTTAGACCTGAATTTATAGAATGACAAGAATCTTATTATAAACAGTTATACTGCTACTTACTCTAGCTAACATTTACCAAGTACTCATTTTGTGTCAGGCACTTGGCTAAAGGCTTGTGTGCATTATCATATTTAATCCAAACCAGGTTGGAAATTAAAAATAGGAAAAATATAATGTGTTTTTAAAACCCCTTAATGACATTTGGCTCAGTTTTGTGTCATATTTAATTTACTTTTATTTCTAGTCCGGTTGCTTGGGGGAGGAGGTGGGGGATGAGAGGCTGAGAGGCTGAGAGGCTCAGTAGCAGCTGTTAGGAGGGGCTTTGGAGTTGCAGCTATGCTTTCACCATGAATTAGCTGCATGACCTGAGAACTTTCATCCCCAACTTTCTCCTTGGTACATGGGGACAATAATATGATGCACTTAAGTCATCAGGTTGTTGAGGAGCTCAAATGCTCTTTGTACACAGTAAACACTCAATAAATGTTAGGAATTGTTGTTGCTACTGCCAATCTCGGAGTAGCTCCTTAATGTGGAAGTTAATCTTTAGGGGTAGGGTGTTCACCCTTAGCTGTGCGGTCCTGGTGGAACTGCAGGGAGACCACAACTTCACCCTCTTCTCCCTGTGGGTTTTGAGGACAGGAGGAGTGAGAAACACTTGGGCACGCTAATCTTTCAGGTTCTTCTTTGCTTCTTCTCTTTACTTTCTTCCAAAAGGGTGCCAGTCCTTAACCCAGCAGCTATCATGCCAGGCCAGGAAGCTGAACCCTAAGGAGAGGTGTGACCAATTTCCCATCACTTGTAATTATACTGAATGCTTCCGGTCTTTTTCCACTTAAAAATCCTACATGGGAGGGCCTGAATCATCATCATTACACTCAAAATCCAACATTTAATTCCCAGCAATGGAAATTAAAAACAATTGCATTTCATTCAAATTACAGTGATGCATAGCATTTTTTTAGCTCATTGTATTTTTCAAAGGACTTTTAGAGGTACAATATTATTTTTTAAACAAAGCAGTTTCCAGGATAAGTCAGTATCCCTGAATTGTGCTGCTAGAAAGAATGTAACTTTGCACAGATATGGAAGTTCGTTGATGAATCCAAAATTGGTTGAGATTGGAATATAAATTTCTGAGTTTTCTCCTATTACCTTGATATGGACATTTATTCTATTAAAGTCAGTAAAGAGATACCACTGGAACTTTTAGATGTTAACATGTGTTACTTTTCCGTGTTTTCCAAATATTAAGAGAATCTTTTGAGAAGAGGGGCTCTGAGGACAGTTTGCCAAATGAGTGGTTCCTGTGTAGAAATGGGTGGTGGTGTGGCATGGCTGTGTGAATGGTGATAGTACTGGACCATTTTTACCTTGGATTTCTCTGTTTTTCTTTTTTCCACACATTGGAAGGTCCTTCTTCCATTTGAGGGTCCCAAATATGTATTTAGTAGTTAATATTTGAACTGTTAGATTGGATTTGTGGATACTTTTATTTTTTAAGTGGGACTGGGATTTGAACTCAGGGCTTTGAGCTTGCAAAGCAGGCAATCTACCTTTTTGAGCCATAGCTCCTGCCCATTTTTCTCTGGTTATTTTGAAGATGGAGTCTTGTGAACTATTTTCCCAGGCTAGTCTTAAACCACTATACTCCTAATCTCAGCTGTTCTAAGTAGTTAGGATTGTAGGCGAGAGTCACCAGCACTCAGCTTACTTTTTATTTTTTTCTTTCTTTCTTTCTATTTATTTGGTGCTTGTGATCGAACCCAGGATCTTGCATTTGCTAAGCAAGTGTTCTTCTGCTGAGTTACATCCGAGGCCTTGAAGATACTTTTTAAGCTCATTTATCTAAGGGGTTATATTTACTAGGAAACACAGTACTTTAGGGAAATGAAATAATCAGAAACATGGTTTTACCAATCTTAAGAAAATAAAATTTCACTTCACAAGAGATGCCAGGTAGAATAAAGATAATAAAGGTAACAGATAACATTTTTTGGCTTCTTATGGTCAGATACTTGGCTAAGTGTTTCATTTAATCCTCTTAGTAACCCTTTAAGATAAGGCCCATTATGGCACACCTTCAGATGACAAAACCAGGTTTCAGGCAGATTAAGGAAAGATATCCAGGCTCCACAACTAGGAAGTGATGGAGCTGTGAGTGGAACCTGTATCCTTTGACTTCTGTGTTTCTGCCAAGCAACAAGATTTGAACAGAAGCTGGTGTGATTTGGAATTTTTTCCCCCCCTACAAGACTTTCTTTTTCCTGATTGACATTGCCTGTTTAGCTACTGTGTATTCCTAGCTTAAATTTACACTACTCAGACATCATCCTAAAATTTTCATTGTTGCTGTGAACTTCAGGCTTAAAGTTCTGTCTGTGTTTAATTAAACAAGTGAAGGATTTGTAGTAACCAATTTGTTTGCAATGGTATGTGGGATGGTTCTTCCTGTCTATCATTCTGTTTATCTACCCCATGGTTAGAAAAGCAGGGTCTCTGTAGGCTGCTTCTTTTATGTACATGATGAAGAAAGTGTATCGAGCCCAGCCTCTTCCTTTTGGCTTTCTTTAAAAAGAACAAGGGCTGAGCAGAGCACAATTTGCACACTTCCCTTGGGCTTGTGTTTCAGCCTTATTTTCTCCTTCCCTATTCAAAAATCGAAATCAACATGAAGAGATTGCAGGCCAGGGGTACAAAGGGCTCCTGGGAAGAATTCAGGGAGTCTGTGAATTCTGATGACGACATACATCATCCCTTATTTTCACTAATCTGTATCTAAAATTCATCATTTTGTTCAATGTGATGTATACCATAATCCACAGTGATACTAACATTACTTATGATTTTTTGCAATGGGAATTACACATATTAACATAGCACCTTATGATGTTGGTTGACATCTCAAAATATCATTTGTATTTATCACTTGTTGGATGTCATAGTGGTGAATAGTCCTTGGATTGATCCTGTTATTTAATACATTAATTCTTTAAACTTAAAAAAGTTCTTGCTGACTATTTCAGTGTCATTGATTTCCTTTATAATCGTATGTATTCACATTATACATGTGAAAACATTATTTTGAGAAGAGAGTCTCTTAGCTTCTGCAGAGACAAAGAAGATTATAAAACACACACACACACACACAAAAGTTGAGCACCCTTACTCTAAACTCTAGCCTGCTCTAGATTATTTTCTGAAGGAAATCAATTTTCTGGGGGGAAAAGTCTGTAAGGATTGATTACATTTTCTTGTGAAATGTTTAGTATATTGTGAAAGATACGGAACACAGAAAAAAATCTTTAAGAAATGCTAGTTAGAAAACATGAGCATTTTTCAAGTAGAAATACATAATAATGTTATAAAATTCACATAATATTTGAATAATCATCCTACAAAGTCTCTTCTAAGTAAAGAGAACAAGTGCTGATTAGAGAAAAATTTCAGAAACTGTGGGGTTGGGCCCAACTGGAACATTTGCTTGTTTAACTGGCCTGAACATTACCACCATTAGAAATCAGCCTCTCCACCACTGACATTTTATAATAGATTCATTTTGGGTGTTTTCATAAACTTTAACTTTAAATTACACCTCTGTTATCTTTTCAGGCTTTGGTTTTAAAAAGTAAATTTTATTGAAGATTCTTAAATTCTGAAAAGTGCACATAGCATAATCATATACCTCAAAGAATTTTCTTAACTGAACACACAGGTAGAACCAGCACTCACATAAAAAATTTGGTGTCATTTTTATTCTGCTGTTTATAGGTGATATATATATATATATATATATATATATATATATATATATAAAACATACACACATATATATAGCATATATATATACATATAGCATTTGATGTGTTTCTTTGATGGAGCAGAGGCTGTACCCTCAAAACCTTACAGCACCTTGCGTCTTGCTGAGTGCTGGTGGAGTCCATCTAAGGTGACCATGAACGAGTGGGAGGAACACAAGCTTTGGCTCCACTTTCATCCTGTTAGGACCACCTGTAGACTAAGCAATCTCTGGTGAATTATTTAATGTCTTTGAACATCAGTGTACACATTGATGTAAATGAGGATAAAATGTAAAATGAGGACAAGAGGATCATATTTTTCTTGTATGGTTGCTGAGAATTAGAGAAAATAACATTAGAATGTCTAGTGTATACAAGTGGTAAATGAATGGCAGATGTCACCATCAGTAACTGTGAACACAACACTGAAACATTCATTTGTGGCCTAGAGAAGTTTATTATAACAGAGGATGTTGTAGGATACTGAGGATTAACTAAACTTTTCCAGTGTTCATGGACAATTTTTACAGTACATTTAATTCACATGATTTTAAATTTACTACTGAGTTAATGTAACCTTTATAAAAAGAAACTAAAATTTGATTATTATTTTCTTGAATTTCAAAAAAAATGCAGCCTTCATTTTGTTAAATGAATTTTGTTTCTTCTTTTGAGGTGTTGGAGAAAATTTGACAGATCCATCTGTTATAAAACCTGAAGACAAACAGTAAGTTAATTTAGTGTTATCATTTGGAAAACTGCATTTAACTTGTACATTTTTAAAATTTATTTTTAACTGTTGGATAAAAACATAAAAATTATATACTTTAATGGGGTACCCTGTGATATTTTGATATCTTTATATACTGTGTAATGTTTAAGTGGTACATAGGAGTCTTTTTTAACAGCAAAAATTAATTACAGAACATTGTGAAAGACCTCAGTATTAGTTTCCTGGTACATGGTTTTAAAAATAATTTATAAACTTATATGCTTTTTGACTAGACCCTAGCAATATCTAAAAGAATAAGATTTTCTAAAAAGCATAGGTTAAGAAATGAGAATAAAAGAAAGTATGGAAATAAAATAACATTAAACCTGGAGTTGGCTTAGTAACAAATGGAACTTTCTAAAGGCCAATGCAGTAGCTAGAATTTGGATGCAAATTTCACTCTGAGTTCTTTAGTAGTTCAAACACAAGAGAGGAATGTGTAAAGTTTAGCTTCCTGAGTCTTTGGCGTGAACACAATAACATCCTGGGAGGAGCTGTTTCCTTTGCGATCTTCACCATGCATGCAATTACTGCATCTGATCACGGCAGCATCTTCCATCACATGCTAATAAAGCAAAATCTGATGATGTGCACTGCTACTGTAACAGCTAAGCCATGAGAAACCTATGACATTTACATACGAAGCATTGCATTGTCCAACTCGATTCAGAACCAAGGTTACAGACAGGAACGAGTCATCACTCTGTTCTTTGAATTCCCACAGGCATTTGAGCCATCAGTAGGCTTTTTGGAAAACTTGGCAGTAAAGGCTCTGAGGTCGTGTTCTTCTGATAAAGGTGGAGTAAAAAGAAGTGATGGTGCCAATTGAAGACTGATCAGTGTAGTAGACAATAATGATTGTCAAGTGTGAGTTTGCCTCAGGATCATCAGGACAGCTTGTTAAACACAGATTGCTGGCTCTGCCATCAGAGTTTCTGAGTTGGTGAACTTAATGTGGGGCCAAATAGTCTGCATTTCAAATAAGTTCCAGCCAATTCTGATGCTGAGTATTGTAGACAACACTCTGAGAACTGCTGGCATACAACAATTTTACTTGAGAAAATTTTATTTTAGAGACAGGGTCTTGCTATAGACCCCAGGCTGGCCTTGAACACTTGATCCTCCTGCTTCTGCCTCAGCCTCTGAAGTGCTTTGATTAGTGGTGTGTGCCACCACTCCTGGCTAACACTTTTATTTCTTGGTTGGCCTAAGTGTTTATACTTAGTCCCTGGGTGACAGAAAAAAAATTTAAATATATATAATATATATAAAATATATATGTTAAACTACATAAGTGGGCAATTCCGATACCATTAAATCTGAAAATTTTAGTTTCTTGCAAATCATACTGCTTTATTGCTCTATTCTTTTACTGACTCTAAATGTGGTCCCATCTGTAGACTTCTATGCAAGGAGGTCCACCTAGTAAAAGTGTGTTAGCTACTTAATTAGATTAGGTGAGTTAGGGAAGATAAAGGTGGCCCAAAATGCTCATAGGCATCATGTAATTCCTATGATGTTTATTTGACTATGGAGGCCATGTTGTAATCCTTGGGTTATACATAAAGAGTTTATTAGTTTTCACGTTAGCAGAGCTACAGTGTTTTTTAGCTAAGAATATTATTTCCTTATTAACCCCACATGCCCAAGGTTTTCTAGCAGTAACCTTATTTTATAAGTACTTTTTAAAAAATAATTTTGCAGTGAAGAGATTTTGCATATATAATGAACCAAGTTTATGTATAGGTTTTCTATTACTCATTACATTTTGAACTTGGCCTATATCACTTAATATGACCTGAATGCTCTATCTTTTTACAATTCTGAGATTATATTATCCCACTTGACAGCTAAGTATTTAATTGCATTCTATAGGCACTGGGTCTGAATTCCTAGTCACCTGAGGAGTTAAAAAAAAAATGGTGCCTAGGATTGGTGTCCAGGTAGAATGTCTGAGGACAGGGCCCTGATGTCTAGATTTCTTGAAAGTTCTGCATGTGATTCTGTGGATAACCAGATTCTTGTGGCAACTTTATTTTCTATAAATTGAGAATAGGAACTCTAAAAATAGACAGGATGATGTCATTTTGGCCTGCCTGGTTTTGTGGGATCTCCCCAGTATTGAGTGCAGTTTAACTTCATGGTGATAACAAGAAGTTCTATTTTTTCATGTCTAATTAGTTTGATTAGAATTACATCTAATTAGTTCAATGAGGCTCACATTCTTGAATGCCTTCCATGAGTGAAGCGTTTGCTACACAAAGCAAGGGCCATAGCCCCACAACTTTAGCAACACGGGCAGTTGTTAGAAACGCAGTGCTCCAGGACACTTGCTAGACCTTTTGAACCAGAATCTGAGTTTTCACAAGGTCTTCTGGGTGATTTGGTGTAATTTGTTTTTTTTTTTTTTGCGATACTGGGGCATGAACTCAAGGTCTCACCCTTGCTAGACAGGCATTCCACCACTTGCACTGCTCTGCCAGCCCTTTATTTTTGTGTAGAGTATTTTCGAGATAGGGTCTTATGAATTATTTTCCAGGGCTGGCCTCGAGCCTCTCTCTATCTTCTTGATTTCTGCCTCATGAGAATGTTGGATTACAGGTGTAAGCCCCTGGTACCTGGCTGATTTGGTGTAAATTAAAATTTGAGAAGCATAGATTTAAGCAATTACTTTCACATGTTATTATTTTAGCCTTAGTAACAACTTTGAAGGTAAGTATTTTCAATACCAGTTCACAAACGAGGAAACTGAGGCTCAGTGAAGATCGTAACTTGCCTGTGAGGAGTCAAAGGGAATTTCCTTCAACCAAAAGAGAGATACTGAGCTGGGTATGGAGGTCCGTGCCTGTAATCCCAGCACTTGGGAGGTGGAGGCAGGAGGATCTTGAGTGTGAAGTCAGCTTGGGCTACATACACTTTAAAAAAAAAAAAGAGAGAGCAAGAGGGAGGGGAAGGGAGGGGGAGAGAGAGAGAGAGAGAGAACGTATTTTTGTGGTATAACTTTTAATGCCCATTGTCTCTTAGCTTTCCCTAACCTTCTGCATTGTTTATTGGTAGTTTGGGATGACAGCTTTCTAGCTTACCACCTTGATGCTCTTGGGCAGCTGACAAGTATGAAATGATGATGAGATAGATGTTCTTTAGTAGATCTATGTATAGATGGCACTAATTAGTGTTTCCTTGCATTTGGAACCAAGCTACCACCTGCTTTTCCTGTGTTGTGAAAAATCTGGAAAACAGCTAGTTGTGTGCATTTTTTTTAAAACTTAGTTATCTGAGACTGCCATGCTCTGGGCATGCTGTAGGGTGTAAATGCAAATGAATGTCCTTGCAACCCTCCTTCCTGCTCCCCTGTGTAGGGAGTGGTCCAGCCCCTGATACATCATTTCATAGTAATTTTGATTCTTTTGTCTTAACTTTAATGAACCTCACAGAAAGAAATGATTTAGCTGCTAGCTTTTATCTGAGGATCAATGTTATATTTCTAAGTTGGGGTTTTTCATGCTTTTCTGGGAGGAAAGAACTAGCAGGTACAGAATGTAAACTAGTGAAATATTCCAATAAGGTCAGGCGAGAGAGGCTTCGAGAAGGAATTCTTCTGTGGTAACGACTACACAGACACCTTCGTTTTTCACTTTGTCAGGATCGTAGAGTTCTGGTCTAAATACCGAGTCATTCTGATTTTTTGCCACCTTTGATTTCACCTTATTGAAATGGCGCCTCACCAGATGGACTGAAAGAGAGGCAGAGTTAACAAGAGGCTGCTTATGTAGCCGGGTAAATGCCACCAGAGCTGCACTTTGTAAGGATGATTGAGTGACCAGGAAAGTTAATCCTGAGTGTCTTTCCACCCTGTTTTCCCAAGAGATTTTCTCCACCTTCTCGCCACTGGGCAGAGAGGCAATCTGAGATCACAGGACACCGGTCCTCATTCTGAGCTTGGCACATCTTCAGAGCAGCTACTGTTCTTCTGCCAAAAGGAAGTGGAAATTGAGATAAATGTCTCAATACTCAGATGGAAAAAAGTCCAGTTTTACACCATGTCCCTTTTGAAAAACCGCATTCCTTAGAAGCAAAGTTTATTGTTTCCTTTTGTGATAGTTTGCTTTGCTTTTTTCTTAAGAGCAGTAATTGAGTTCAGATTTTAAAATGTGCTGTTTCCACTCTGCATGTCATGAAAATAAAATCTGAGCTTTCATAGAGTTTGTTTGGAAGTGTTTCTGGCGTGCTCTGTTCCGCGGCATGCAGTGTCACAATCTAAGGAATATGTTTGGGATAGGATAGTGGATGAACTAATGATCCTAGAATATGCCTGGGACTGATTCTAATGATAAGGCATTCCAAATGTGTATTATAGATACTGATCCTATTTGTAATTTGGTTACCTACATTGAGCATATGTCGTTTACTTCCACAAACACTTTGTCTTAAACTAGTCATGTCTTTCTACAAAGAGCCCAGCTATAGCAGTTTGCAGGGTAGAAAGTGACTTTTTGAAAAAGCCATGAATAACTGGCTTTAGGGTTCAGTCAGGTATTTGTTTTTGAGGACAGTTATTTTAAGCAAAGTATTTGGGTTTGCAACAATGCACATGCCTCTTTTTAGAAGGTGTGTACCAATACCGAATTCACTTCAGACCTTACCTTTCGGGGATTTTAGTAGAACATTTGGTAATGAATGTCATTCTCTCACCCCATATGCATTAAAAAGGGTTTAACTGTATTTTGTTTTAATGTAGTACACAGAATATTCACTCTTCTATCAGATTAGCGTTGGAATGAGTTTCACAGGTCTTGGAGTTGGGTACAAAGATTTAAGTGCATTTGAACTTTAAATTTGCAGGCTAACATTGTTGTTTGCCGAAAGTGCCCTGCTTTTTGTTGGCTCCTTCAAGTGACTGGGTTACCACGGGATACTGGTCGGTATCTCAGAGAATCCTAGTTGAGCTCCTTTTTCTCTGCTGTGGTCTAATTGATATTCTGATATTTCCTCTAGATCAAGAGGAATGGTGTTTGGACCAGCCAATTTAGGGGAAGATGCAATTAGAAACTTCATTGCAAAACATCGTTGCAACTCTTGCTGCCGGAAGCTCAAACTCCCGGGTATGCCACAAACAATTCTATTTTTCTCTAAGTAAATCTTTCATAGGACAACATCTTTTGTAACCTGGGATTAAATCAAAAATCTTAATCATATTTTTATCTCATTCGCAGAGCCTGACTTTCTGACTGCAAATTTTTCAAGTCTCTAAGGGGATTAAAAGGACAGGGAATTACTTAGGTTCTGCCAAAATGTGATAAAACAACATGGGGCCCAGTACTTGTCACAGTTACTCCAAGGGAAAAGTTCCACTGATTTAAATGGGATGAAATCTGACCAAGGTCTTCCCCTCCCTTCTGAGTCCTAGGGTCCCACAACGTTTCAAGCTGGTTGGACACTTGGGAGGGTGAGGTATATAGAGAAATAACAGCTGTTAACTAAAAGAGTGCATTACATTATAAAAACCTGTCACTTTATTTATTTAATTTTGGTGCTTCAAATCAAACCCAAGGCCTTGAACATGCTACCATTGAGCTACAACATGAGCTCCAAAACCTGCCACTTAAAACACACATTGTAATATGTTTTTTTTTTTAAATTCAGTTCAGTAATATGGCATACTTTCTGTTAAACCAATATAGCCAGCACAAAAAAATATCCCTAATATAAAAGCAAACAGCAGGAGTTCTCTGCCTCCCAACCTGGCAACCCCAGTGCTGTTGTATTCCTCCCTTTCTTCTCAGAGGGGAGCTTTCTGTTTGCCTCAGCTTGTTCACTCATTTTTTCCTAGGTCAAAGCACACTTGTTCTTACACTGGAACTTCACTGTTTTAAGCAAAGTAGTCCTTCCTGCCTTATCAAAAATTATCACATCCTTGAGCCAGGCACAATGCATATGCCTGTAATCCTAGCTACTTGGGAGGTGGAGGCAGGTGAATCACCTGAGTTCAGGAGTTCAGGACTAGCCTAGGCAACATAGCAAGATTCTGTACCATTAAAAAATAAAATCATAGACAAAATTGGAAATCAGTAAAAGAGCATCATTCATTGTAATGGATGGAGCACATGTAAATTTATAGTAATAAAGGGTAATTTCTAATCCTGTTGGCATTCAAGGTAAGGGGGGCTTTTGTGGGCAAGATTTGGGAAAAGACTGGGAATTGGAGCAGTCCTTCAGTTCCTATGGGAATTAAAATGTAGTAGCCAGGAGTGGTCATGACCACCCGGTCCTGATCTCACAAATCACATGCCAGATGTACAAAAGATCTGTGTATAGCACTTTGGCCTCCAGTCTGGTCAGGAGTAACACAGGAAGGGGCAGAGCCTTGGTGGAGGGGCATCTGGCTCTCTTGGTAAGGGCCCTATGAAATGTAGGAGCTGACCACTATTTGAGTCATTCCATAATTGCAGACTGGAGCCTGACTCATTAAATCAGAGTCCTAAGGCACTAGCATCTGCCCAGTCTAATTCACTGTGCCCTGGACATGTAGGCCTCCATTCTTCAAGACACTGGACTACGTCTGGTCAGTCAGGAGTCAGGGAGTCTTGAGCCATAAATCATTGCTTCTAATTCTTGGACCCATTATCTGTTGTGTATGATTAAGGTTGAGATCACTACATTGGTAGGTTTTGAGTAATTCAATAGTTCTTCATCTTTATAATCAATCTATATCTCCTTTCCAAACCTTACTTTGGAGCTAACATTTAAGTACAAATAAGAAACATTCTCATTTACTCACTTATTGATAATCTAAATAAAAAAAGATTTAGCCTGGAAAAAAGGATTAGAGGTGACTTTTCCTTTTTGTTTACTTTTCTTTTTTACCAGAGACAATTCTGGCCAATGTATAAGAGTATAGGATTATGAGCCAGACAGATTGGGTTCTGGTTTTCAGTGACTATATGACCTTGGGCTTCAGTATTTTTATTTGTGAACTGTGGATAATAGCACCTGCCTTATAAATTAGTGTGAGGGTTTAATTAAATAATGTATGTGTATGTTTAATAAGTGTTGGTTAATATCAAAATATGTGTTAGTTTTATGTGCAGAGGATCCCCATTTAACATTACAAACTAATATAAAGAATACCTTTTTCCCTTTGGTGCTGAAGATTGAATCCAGGGCCTCATACAGACTGGCTGCACACTCTACCACTGAGCAATATCCCCAGCTCCCTAGAATTAGTAAATGTATCAACACAGCACAAAAATGTGCACAATATTTAATACCATGTTCCCCATAGTCTTCTTTCCCAAAGATGATCCCTATTAGTGTTCTCTTTCAATTTCCTTTTACAAATGGAAGAAGGAGGGTAGTTCAGTTTGTGTGCTCGATTTGTTCTGGATGATCCCCTAAAACTTGTCTTCTTTGCAGATCTAAAAAGAAATGATTATTTCCCTGGAAGGATTAATTCCAACTTTGGACTTGAGAAGAAAATGGAATCAGCTGAGGGGACTTCAGCAAGAGAAAGGAATAAAAACGCCCCAGAAGATCATACACGACTATAAAAAGAGGTGCAGCAAGAAGACAATGACCCTTGCCCTTTTTGCCCATGAACTCTACAGTGAGGTGCATTGATTGATGTAACATTGATTACATCAGATCTCCATCAGGAGTACCTTACACCGTGGGCATCCCTGGGGTATGCCCTCTGAGCCTCATGTCTCCTTCTGCCCACAGGTCTCATTGGTATATGAAGAAGGGGTCTTTCCAGATACTGACCTTGTGCAGGACGTTTTGCATGCATTCTCCATCCTCAGGTTCCACATGGAGACACTTGGAAGAGTCATCTGGGAATTCTGTTCCTTTATACCTCATTGCTTTAGCTGGTCACTTGGAACTGTTGGAGCAGAATGCTGTGCACTAAAGAACCAGGAGGGATGAATTTATTTTCTCACTGTGTACACAGACTTTGTCCCCCACTACTATTCATCACCCCACCCACAGATTGTACTTATGTATATAAATGTACATTAAAAAGATATTTGACTTTCTCTTCTCTCCTACCCAGCAGCGTAGATCTTTGAATAGCAACAACAGGGAATACAATGAAATGAGGGTGTGTTGGCCAGGTCGGAACACACTCCTGCACCAACTAACCAGTGAAAAGTTAATCTCCTGGTGTAATCTTAGAGGGGTTGAGTATGTCAGTGAATCATATGATGCCTGGGGTATCTCAGGTTCCTCTGAAAGAAGAAAAAAGTGAAATCTAAATCAAATTTCCTTGCATTTTTTTTTCCCCATATGAGAGCAAGTATATGTAAAACTAGAATTCTTAAGGAAGGGTTTCCCTTCTCTTAAGATCAGGAGTATTATTGGTTAGAGAGTGACCAAGTCAACCTCTATAACTCCACTCCCTCTTTCATAGCTGTGTATATGATATCACCCTTGAAATTACTCTGTGTCAGGTCCCAGAGGGAAAGATGGAGTTTCAGGGAGAAACCCTATCTTTTCTTCTGGTGTTTGCTTCCTTCCAGTTCCTATGATTTAATCCATCTTGAAAGCATGCCATCAGTTTCTGAGGCTTGAAGCAAAAGATACCTAGAACTGCTCTGTGTAGCATGTTTGGGAGGCCAGTTTCCCTCTTTCATGCTAGTCAGGATTGCCTTACCTCAGAACAAGCATGAGCTTTTCACACTGCAAGGGTTAATCTATACCACTTTTATTTTGGTATTGGGTGGTGGTGAGAGATGGGAAAGTTGGGTGATTTATTTTCTCTTTTTTTTTTTTGAGACTGTGTCTCACTATGTAGCCTGGGCTAGCCTCAGAATTGCAGGACTCTCCTGCCTCTGCCTTCTTTATTTTATTTTATTATTCATATGTGCATACAAGGCTTGGGTCACTTCTCTCCCCTGCCCCCACCCCCTCCCTTACCACCCACTCCGCCCCCTCCCTCTCCCCCCACCCCTCAATACCTAGCAGAAACTATTTTGCCCTTATTTCTAATTTTGTTGTAGAGAGAGTATAAGCAATAATAGGAAGGAACAAGGGTTTTTGCTGGTTGAGATAAGGATAGCTATATAGGGAGTTGACTCACATTCATTTCCTGTGCGTGTGTGTTACCTTCTAGGTTAATTCTTTTTTGATCTAACCTTTTCTCTAGTACCTGTTCCCCTTTTCCTATTGGCCTCAGTTGCTTTTAAGGTATCTGCTTTAGTTTCTCTGCGTTAAGGGCAACAAATGCTAGCTAGTTTTTTAGGTGTCTTACCTATCCTCACCCCTCCCTTGTGTGCTCTTGTTTTTATCATGTGCTCAAAGTCCAATCCCATTGTTGTGTTTGCCCTTGATCTAATGTCTGCATATGAGGGAGAACATATGATTTTTGGTCTTTTGGGCCAGGCTAACCTCACTCAGAATGATGTTCTCCAATTCCATCCATTTACCAGCGAATGATAACATTTCGTTCTTCTTCATGGCTGCATAAAATTCCATTGTGTATAGATACCACATTTTCTTAATCCATTCGTCAGTGCTGGGGCATCTTGGCTGTTTCCATAACTTGGCTATTGTGAATAGTGCCACAATAAACATGGGTGTGCAGGTGCCTCTGGAGAGTAACCTGTGTCACAGTCTTTTGGGTATATCCCCAAGAGTGGTATTGCTGGATCAAATGATAGATCAATGTTTAGCTTTTTAAGTAGCCTCCAAATTTTTTTCCAGAGTGGTTGTACTAGTTTACATTCCCACCAACAGTGTAAGAGGGTTCCTTTTTCCCCACATCCTCACCAACACCTGTTGTTTGTGGTGTTGCTGATGATGGCTATTCTAACAGGGGTGAGGTGGAATCTTAGTGTGGTTTTAATTTGCATTTCCTTTATTGCTAGAGATGGTGAGCATTTTTTCATGTGTTTTTTGGCCATTTGAGTTTCTTCTTTTGAGAAAGTTCTGTTTAGTTCACTTGCCCATTTCTTTATTTGGTTCATTAGTTTTGGGAGAATTTAGTTTTTTAAGTTCCCTATATATTCTGGTTATCAGTCTTTTGTCTGATGTATAGCTGGCAAATATTTTCTCCCACTCTGTGGGTGTTCTCTTCAGTTTAGAGACCATTTCTTTTGATGAACAGAAGCTTTTTAGCTTTATGACTGCCTCTGCCTTCTGAGTACACCACCTGTCCTGGGTAATACCTTGATTGACAATGATGATAAAATGTTAATACTTTTTTTTTGGGGGGGGAGTGTCTAACACCTTTTTTCCTATTCTGTGAATCAGTAAGGGATTGACTGGTACTCACTTCCATGCTGTGCTCATCTATGGAAAAAGGCAGAGTTTGTCTGACCAAGGACCAAACCAAAGCCATCAATTTAGTCACCACATACTTGTTACCTGGAATGGAACTTGAAAGCAAATACATTTGGTTACAAATTTCTATGTTTTTTTTTTTTAACTTTAGGAAAAATCTAAGGAGTAGCATTTAAAAAAGGTGAGCTGCTGGGCAAAGGCATTGCTTGCAGGTGATGTGACAATATTGATCACAAAAGGATGCAGTTTCATTCAGTTAATTTTCTTCAACAGATATTTCTTAAGTGCCTTTTCTATTTTGCATTAATGATGAGGATGTAGTTCTGAGCATAACATATCTTTGTCCTCAAAGAGCTTCAAGCCCAATGTTTCTTTTTGTTTGTTTATTTGTTCCAAACTTGGATTTCAAGGAAGTGCTAAACAATTTGACTTCTGAGCAAATGTCAAATCCAAAGATTTGTCACATTCCTTACCTGCCAGAGCAGTGGGTTCTGTTTGGGATAAGAGAATTAGGGCAAATAAGAAGACATAACTGGGGTTGTTTTTGGAGCCCTTGAGGAAAACCAAACTGCATAGTCCTTTTCTGAGTATAAAGCCTGTATCAAAGATAGGATTTGAATCTGGGAGCCAGAGGAACAGCTGGGATCCAGAGAATTCTCACCCTGGGCATCTGGGCTTTTCTTTCCACAGGTTGGACATTTGTGGAGTGACATCTGCTGCCATTATCTTAAAGTTTCTTGCAGCTCTGAGGAATGAAAACTAACATAGCTTTCCCCTGCTTTGTGTTGTGGTGTGTGTGTGTGTGTGTGTGACTTTGTAAAACAAAGAAGTGGGTGATTAAGACTTCCCAAAAAACATTCAGCCAATGCTTTTGGTGGCTGTTATTTGTGACTCTTATTTTAGAGAAGACCAATACTGTGGTTGTAGAAGTCATGGCACAGATGTCCCTGTCACGTCTTGCTGTGCTTCTCAGTGACCAGCATCTTGCACAAAGTATGGTGCATAGTATGCTTTCAACAATGTATTTCTTTAAAGAAATAATAAAACCTTCAAATAATAGTGGATTTCAATCACTAAGTAATAAATCAGATTTGCATTTTTAATCTAGAAAGAAATGATTACCAATTCCTTAAGATGCAACATAATTCTTTTGATCTCTCTCTGTTTTAATTTTCTAGGAAATAGCTTTTAACAACCTATACCTTGTCTATTGAATTCTCAACCAGTTCTTGCCCTTATCACTATTAGTGATAATGCCAGAGTGCAGTCCTGTGCTGGGGACTATTGAAATGAGATGATAAATTCCCAGAAACTGCCTAGAAATAATCGTTACTTTATTACCCTTTGAAAAGAAGATTGATAGAAAAGTCATTTGAAAGATGGTTCATTACCATGCCCTAGTACGATTTCTTTACTCACATCTCTCCAAAGCATGAGAAAGGGAGGATTATTCTCTGAGGTTGGAATTTGAAGGCTATGTGTTTGCCTCTTTGAAGTCTTGGTATTTAATTTTCTGTAGTCATTTCTTGGGCAATTTTCTAAGAAACTAGTTGAAGCTAATTTATCATAAGTTAAAGTCAAATGACAGAAAAGATTTTGCCCCTTAACAGCATTTGATTCCACAGAGGTTAGCTTCTGAAGAAAAATGAGACTTAAATAGCATTTCAAATCTCCAGCCACATGGGTGGGTACAGAGAACAGAGAGGATTTTGGAAACCACACTGCTTTTTTATTCAGCACCGTTATTATTTTGTGACTTTTCTGTCTACTCCATGATGTACAGATAAAATATTGTATTTTTGTGAAATACTCTCCTAGAAATAATTAGGTAAGTTGCTTAATTTTCCAAAGAAATACTTTTAATCCTCAAGGAGTAACAAACCTTGGTCTCTATCATTTTCAGACTTTTAATATGTTTATATAATTTGTTTAACCTCTGTGTTAACCCCTAACTCTGAAATGTAGATAAAGATACCGTTACAAATGAAGGTGAATGATAATGAGAGAGCATTTATAAAGTCCTTTGAGAATATCATCTAAAAGGCTTTTTATGAGCATGGGACCTAGTTCAATAAATAATATAAAGGGTTTTCATTTTTGATATGATGCAATCATTATTTAATGTTTACAGAGGGTGCTCAGTGGACCTGTCTCATTACAAACACAAGCTTGATTCTGCTATTTCTCCTTTACTGAAGGAGAAACGCTCATGACTCTCTTTTTTATTTAAAGTTTAATTAAATACTTTAAAATCAGGAAAATAATCATT